ACCCGTTCATTTATGGGGCCTAGAGTTGACCGTCACGTGCTGGTCTGGGCGCCGCGGCTGTCGGCTGCCCGCGGCGGGCGAGGGGTTGCCGGGGTCGAGGCCAGAGGAGGGTCCCGGGCCGCCTCCTGTATCCCCCGCTGGCTCCGCCCGCGGCCCGGAGCAGCCCTTCCAGCCGCGGCCGCCTGCAGACCCGCCGGCGGCGATGGGCCGGGCCCTTGGCCGGGGAGCTGGGGAGGCCTGCGGCCCGGTGGGGGCCGGGGAGCCGCGGCCGCCAGCCTTGGGCTCGGGAGGGCTGGGGCAGCCGCCCGCCCCGCCTGGCGCAGCCCCCAGCCCCCTGCCGGCCCCAGCTCCCGGCCGGCCCTGCTGGCCTCGCGGGCACCAGCTCGGGACTTGGGGTTTGGCGCCGTAAGTTTTCATTCACGTTGTTTGCAAGGTTAGGGGTGTGGGGCGCGGCAGACAGTTCAGGACTGGCCCGAAGTGGGGAGAGGCCCCCAGCCCTCGCTCCGGGCCTGGGGTCCCTAGGCCCGCGGGGAAAGCCCAGCGGGCGCCCGCCCCAGGCCTGCAGGGAGGAAGGGCCGGCTCTCAGCCTGAGGACTGTGGCCGCCGGCGTGTCCAGGGGCTGCCGTGCCCAGCACCGTGCCCAGCGCACCTCCACGCCCCACTGCACCTGCCAGCCGGCCGGAGAGCCAGACCCGCATCCCCGGCGACCACGTGGGCCCCCGCGAGGCCGGCCTGGCCTCCGCACAGTCACTCTGGGGTCGGCCGCAGCTGCAGGATGGAGCCTCCCAGCGACGTGCCCCTGTGGGGGTGTCTGGAGCCGCACACACCTGCGCCCTAGGCCGGCTGGGAGACCCCACACCCCGGACAGGCCGCCAGGGGTGTGGACAGGCGCCGGCGGGCCCTGCGGGGCCGTCCTTGCGGGCCCCCCGGGTCGGGCCCCACCTCTCCCCGGCAGTGGGGTCCTGGTGCGGGTCTCGGGCGCCAAGCCTCCCCGTCACCCAGGACCCCCGGCGGCTCTGCGCGCGCCTCACCTCCCCCCTGCAGGAGGGGCTGAAGCCACGAGAGGCGCCCCGGCCGCCCCGGCCTCGCCTGGGTGCCCCCGGCCCTCGCGCAGCCCGACCCGGAGCGAGCTGGGAGGGCCCTTGGGCCCGGGGCGGAGCAGGCCGAGGGGCGCCGTGCGGTCCGGCCCTGCGGGGGGACACGCGCCCTCCGCGCCGGCAGAACCGCGGCCCGGCCGGGCGGCGGCCGTGCGAGGCGGGGCGGGCGAGGGGGGCCCCGGAGCCCCGCGCTCTGGGTGGGGCCCGGCCGCCGCCCCCTCCTCGGGCGCGGCCGCGAGCGCGTTCAGCTGGGGGCGGCGGCTCCGGCGTGACCTGCCGGGTCCTCGACGCCCGCGCTGCCCGGGCGCGGCCCGGGCGCGGCGGGGCCCGGGCGCGGGGCGGGGCCCGGGCGCGGGGCGGGGCCCGGGCGCGGGGCGGGGCCCGGGCGCGGGGCGGGGCCCGGGCGCGGGGCGGGGGGGCGCGGGGCGGGGCGGGGCCAGGGCGCGGGGGGCGGGAGCGGGCAGCGGCCGGGCCCCGCGTGTCCTCGGGCCGGGGCGCTGGGGGCTTCCTGGGGTGTCGCCCGCGCCTCCTCCTCACGCACTGGGCAGCGTCTCACCCCGCGAGGGGACGGAGGTGCCTGCGAGGTTCAATTGGGGGGGCACGGGGAGGGTCCTGGGGGTGAGGGGCGGGTCCTGGGGGGCGCGGCTGGGTCCTAGGGTTGAGGGGCGGGCCCTGGGGGCGAGGGGCGGGGCCTGGGGGTGAAGGGCGGGACCCTAGGGTTGCGGGGCGGGGCCGGGGGGCGAGGGGCGGGGTCCTAGGGTTGAGGGGCGGGCCCTGGGGGCGAGGGGCGGGGCCTGGGGTGAGGAGGGGGCCCTGGGTGGTGAGGGGCGGGACCCTAGGGTTGAGGGGTCGGGCCTGGGGGACGAGGGGCTGGTAATGGGGGCGAGGGGTGGGGCCCTGGGGTGAGGAGCGGGCCCTGGGGGGTGAAGGGCGGGACCCTAGGGTTGAGGGGCGGGGCCTTGGGGCGAGGGGCGGGGTCCTAGGGTTGAGGGGCGGGGTCCTAGGGTTGAGGGGAGGAGCCCGGGGCGAGGGGCGGGGATCGGGGGCGGGGCCCGGGTGGGGGCGGGGCCCGGGGCGAGGGGCGGGGCCGGGGCGGTGCATCTGGGCGGCGCGAGCAGCCCGGGTCTGGCCAAGGTCCTGGTCACGGGGTTCCCCGCTGGGGCCTCCTTGGGGACCCGCGTGTCTGTCTTTCCCCCCCGCCCCCTCGTGCGCCCGCGGCCGCCCTCCCCGCCTTCGCGGGAACCGGCTGTCGGGACCGCGGACCCCGGCCGGACCCTGCTCGGCCGCCCGCGCGCGTGTCCCTCCCCGGCCTCGGGCCCCCGCTGCGCCCGGCGGCGCGCGGCGTGTCCCCGGGGCTCCGGCGGGGGGGACAGACAGAGCGTGTGCCCGTCTCGGCGCCCTCGGGCCTGGGCCGGCCCGCCCTGCACGGACGCGGCGCCTTCTGTGCCGCAGCCCCGTGGCGCCCCCCCATAAGGTGCTGTGTCCCCCGCGCTGCGCCGGGGCCAGGGTGCGGTCGTCCCCACGAGGGACCACGGTGGCCTCGGCCTGCGCCTCCCTCCCACCCACACCCTCCCCGCCCTGACGCCTCGGCCTCACCCTTGGTCAGGACGCGCCGACCCCTGGGGAGGGCTGGGCCGGTGGGCTGGCGGGGCAGGCCCTGGGCTTGGGGTGACTTGGGGGCCAGGTCACCTTGATTCGGCGGCGTCTGTCTGGGGGCGGTGGGAGAACGCAGCCGGTCGCCAGGGCCTGGCGCTGTCAGCACCTGCAGGCTGGGCCTACGGGGCAGGCTCGGGTGTGGGGGCCCTGGTGGGGGGCGCGGGGAGGAGGGGCTGACATCAGCGGGAGCTCTGTGGGGTGGGGGTGCACATGGGGCCGAGATGCAGAATCTCCCAGGGAAGCAGGCGGGGGCTCCCTGACCTCCCTTTGGGCCAAGCCTTGTCCCCCACCGGCCTCCGGGGGATGTTCGGGGAAAGTGACAGCTGCAAAGCAGTGGGGGGCTCTGTGTGAGTTCGGTTTGGTGTGCTCGGGGCTCTGTGTGCGGCGCCCCCACTTCCAGGTCTGCTGCGTCGTTCGGCGGGCCGGCTTGGCCATCGCGTGACCCCCGCCCCGCCCCGCGGTCCTCGCCGGCAGCCCCCCATCCAGACTCCCGCAGCCTGGGCTGGACCCCGCGCCGCGGAACCTTTCTGTCCTTTCAGCTGACCCCCGGCTCCAGGGTCGCGCGTGCCGCTCCTGGCTCGCCCCACGCCGGGCCGGCGCAGCCCATGCGAGAGCGCCTGTCCCCCTCGCGGTGGCCGGCGCGTCCACTCCGCCTGCGCCCGCCTTTCCCTGGCGGTGTCGTGGCTTCTTGGTGCCCCTTCCTTGGCTTCTGCTCTCCCGCGATCTAACTGTCCCTGCACTGGCAACATATCTGCTACCTTCGCTTTCAATTGATCCTCGGGGCTCGTTCGGGGGGTCCCCAGCACCTGCCCCCGCCGCATCCTGACATTGTGCCGGGCCGCGGGCGGCTCAGGGCGGCTGGGACTCGCTCCCGTGGCTTTGCTTTCAGCTGCTTCACGTCTGTCACCACGAGCTCCACTGTGAGCGTCTGTTGTCTCTCCAGGGGGTTAAAACTGAGAGGTCTTTTATATGCTTTTTACCACTTTTTTAAAAATTTATTTTTTATTTATTTATGCCTGCAAGAGCTGGGTGCAGGCCAGAGGTGGGAGAGTGAGAGGACTCCCCAGAGACAGAGTGGGGCGCAGAACAGGTGGATCCCCTGAAATCCCCGGCTGAGGGCCACCGGGGGGACAGGAGCGGGCTGTGGCGCCCTGTGGGCAGCTCCCCGGCCGGGCACTGAACTCAGGCCGCAGTGGCTGCTGAAAGCCTCGTGGTGCTGACACTTCACCCCTGCGCCCCAGGGGATCCCTGCTTTTCACCCCTTTGACCTTTCTTCAGTTCTGTGAGTCGACGGCCTTCCCGCTGGTGGCGCTTCTCCCGCCCGCACACGCCTGTGACGTGTCTGTGGCGCAGCTGCGGGCACGAGCTCCTCCCCGCGCTCGCGTGTCTGGGACAGGCCTTCGCTTCTCCGTTTTTCTGGAAACATCTTTACTAATAAAGGGCGCACACCTGCGTGTGACCTCACCGGCCGAGCACAGGTCACGCGCCGTCGCCGCTGCCCAGCCCCTGGCCCGGCGCACGGCTGAGCCCGGCTCGCCCTCCCCTTGCCCGCCTGCCCACGTGTCGCCTCCGCGTGGCCGCTGCGTCTGCTCTCTGGCATCTCGGCCGACACCTCGCCCTTCTCCCTGGCCGCGCGGGGCCCCAGGAGCAGCCGCCCCACTGTCCACCTGCCCACTCACGGCCGAGGGCACCGCAGGCCCCTCTGTGGACACCCCTTCTCACCTCCTCGGCGTGGGCTGGGCACCGCGCGGCCGAGTCGGGAGGGGCCGCCGCTCTCCAGCCCCCGCGGCGCCCCGCGTCCAGGCTGCTCCCGCGCCGCTGCTTGTCTTGGGCTCGGTAGTCAAGGGACATTTTCACGGCGGCCATTGCAGGGGTGTGGGGAGCTCAGCGCCTCCGCTTTTCAGAGGTGTTCCCGCCGAGTTCAGGGCCCTGGCTCGCGGGCGGTTGCTTTGCCCCCCACCCCCGGTGGTCCCCAGGCCCCCTTCACCGCGCTGCGGGTCTGCGGCAGGGGTGGCGCCCACGAGCACGCCTGTCACCGCTGACCCCGTCTGCGCCCGCCCGGGCTCCACTCTGTGGGCGCAGCTCTGCGCGCGCCCCTTTCACTAGCTCCTCGTTCGCAGCCGCCGGTCATTTCATTTTGCGTCCTTAGCACCTTCGCGTGTCTGCAGGCGGGGCCGTGTCCTGGCGGGGCGGGGCGGGGCGGGGCGCGCGCTCACCAGGTGTGCTTCCCCAGGTGACCGAGAAGATGTAGTGGGGCCGCAGCGAGGCGTCGCCAGCCGGAGCTTGGCACGGAGGACCCAGACGAGCGACCGCCGGCGCCCCGGGCCACCCCCACCATGTCCAAGAAGGGCGCGGGCAGCCGGGGCCGGGGGGACAGGGCGGAGGCCCTGGCCGCTCTGCAGTCCGCCAACGAGGAGCTGCGGGCCAAGCTCACGGACATCCAGATCGAGCTGCAGCAGGAGAAGAGCAAGGTGGGCCCCCGCGCCTCCCCGCCCCAGCCCCCTCCCGGGGCCCGTCCTGCCCAGCGTCTGCCGCCCGGTCCAGGGTCCGAGGTCTGTCAAGGCAGCTGGCGGGAGGGGGGAGGCACCCCCAAGCAAACACGTGTGAAGCCCAGCCCAGAGAGGACAGCCAGTTCTCAGCTGCCCCCGCCAGGACCTGTCCGCCGGCACTGGCCCCGGGAGTGGACTGCTTCCCCCAAACTCTTCCAGTGGGGTCAGGCTGCAGCCCAGGCCCCTCTGCGTGGACGAGGCTGCAGGCGCCGGGGGCTGGGAGCTGCGGGTGCAGGGCCCTCCCCCGCCCAGATGCAGAATGGGGCAGAACCCCGGGGCAGGAGGCCCCAGACCCCACAGCCAGCGGGTCCTTCCGCGCTGGCAGCCCCGGGCGCTGCGGGAAGGAGGGTGAACAGGCACGTCGGAGCCGCGGGGAGGCCCAGGGAAGGCAAGAAGGAAGGATTTGGGGAGTTAAAGACAAGCCCCCGCAGGGTCTCTCCCGAGGGCGGGTCTGAGAGGTGCCAGGCCCATCTGCCGGGGAGGTCTGGGAGGGGAACCAGTTACTGGGGGCCAGTTGTTGGACTGCACGCTGCCCAATGCCCAATGCCCTGACTAGATCAGGAAGGTGACCCCCCCCCCGCCTGAGCCCACAGAGGTGTCCCGTGTGACTCAGCTGTCGCGACCGCCCTCCCGACCCCGTCAGGCCCTGGCAGGAAGGCCTTACCCTCCTGCCTCGTCTGGTTCTGTGAGGGGTGATCACGGGGCTCGGGTGCGGGTGCCGGGGAAATGCTCCCGAGCCCCAGGCGGAACTGGGTGCAGAGCGCCAAGCGACCCCTGCTTGCGAGCCAGGCGGGCACAGTCGCCGGGCTGGCACGTGAGGCCAGCCCCCCAGGCCCTGCGCGGGTGCCCCCAGGCTCGGGACCCCCAGGCCGTGCGCGCCAGCCCGCGGCAGCCCAGCCCTTTCTCACAGGTGAGCCGGGTGGAGCGCGAGAAGACGCAGGAGCTGCGGCAGGCCCGCGAGCACGAGCAGCACAGGAGCGCCGTCCTGCTCACCGAGCTCAAGAGCAAGCTGCACGAGGAGAAGCTGAAGGAGCTGCAGGCCGTGCGCGAGGCGCTGCTGCGGCAGCACGAGGCCGAGCTGCTGCGCGTCATCAGGATCAAGGACAACGAGAACCAGCGGCTGCAGGCCCTGCTGCACGCGCTGCGGGACGGCGCCCCCGACAAGGTCAAGACGGCGCTGCTGTGCGAGGCCAAGGAGGAGGCCAAGCGGGGCTTCGAGGTGGAGAGGGTCAAGATGCAGCAGGAGATCTCGGAGCTCAAGGGGGCCAAGAAGCAGGTGGAGGAGGCGCTGACCATGGTCATCCAGGCCGACAAGGTCAAGGCCGCGGAGATCAGGAGCGTGTACCACCTGCACCAGGAGGAGATCGCCCGCATCAAGAGGGAGTGCGAGCGGGAGATCCGCAGGCTGGTACGTGGGCGCGGGCGGGGCGGGTGGGCGGTGGGCGGGAGGGGCCAGGAGGGGGCGCGCTGGGTTGGGGGGAGCCACCTCCGCTCTGGGCACCGTGTCCAGCACAGCCCCACGGCTCGACGTCAGCCCCGCAGCCTTGCCAGCCTGACTCTCCACTTTTAGTTTGGTCCAGCACAAGCACCTGCAAGTTAGCCCCCCATGTCCCCCAAAAGGGCTTTGGGGGGCCTCCCTCCTCAAGACCGAGGTCCGGTGCAGGGCCAAGCAGGGTGCGTCCAGGCCCGGAGGGCAGCTCGCTGGAGGTCCCCTCCCCTCCCCCGTGGCACGTTCGCGTTGTGGGGAGGGCCTCCTGGGGCAGCACTCAGTTGGGGGGTCAGGAATGGCGCCTGTTGGTGACTCTGCCACGCAGGCAGCCCTGGAGCGGGCGTCACTGGCATTGCGGCCGGGCACACCTGGGACCCTGGGATGTCTCCCGGGGGCACAACCACCTTTGCAGCTGGCAGGGCCGCGACCACGCCGCGCTCCCATGCCGTGGGTCTCGGTTCCTGGAGGGCAAGAGCTGCTCGGCCTGCGGCCCAAAAGGGGGCACCTGGCCCACCCCAGCCAGCCTGGGCACCGCAGCGCCTTTGCTGGGCCATGTGTGGGCGTGGCCCCGGGCCCCCAGGAGAGGTGGAGCCCCCCAGGAGCGGGAGCTCTGTCAGGAGGGGTGAGCTGTTCCAGGGAGGCGGCTGCTGGCGCCCATGCGCCCCCTCACGGGTCCCCACCCAGGTTCCCAAAGCCCCTTGGGGCGCCTCCTGGCTTCAGACGCCCAGGGAAAGCGCCGCCGAATCTGCTGATGCTCCTGGATTTTATCCCAAATCTTGGAGCCGGGTGCTGCATCGCCACATGGCTGGGGAAGGCCACGCCTTGACCCAGGGCCTGCGAGCTGCCCCCCGTCCTGCCGGCGGCACTGGCCACCGCACCTCTCTGCAGTCGGGGGTCTTGCCTGTCGGCCCCAGCCCCACCCGGGGCACGCGGGCTCTCGCCAAGTGGACCCGCCAAGCAGCAGCGCTTTGCAGAGAACAGGAGGCCCCTGACGTGGCCCAGCCGTGCGGGGGACCCAGTCAGGGGCTCAGGATGCTGAGGGGAGCCCGCACGCATGCGGGCAGGCCCTGGGGTGCGGGAGGCTGTGCTGCCCAGCAGCCTAGAAGAAACTGTGGACAGTTGAGTCCCGGTCTTGACCCGAATCCTAAGTCTGGCTGGAGGTGTAGCCCCCTGTGGGTCTCAAAGAGAAGCCCAGGGCAGGGGCCAGGGACGGGGTGGGTGCCCCCAGGGGCTGGAGAGGGCAGAATGTCCAGGTTTTGTGCCTCCCTCCCCCCACCAGCGGGAGTGGCCTGAGGAGTCAGAGCTGCTTCTGTGGCCAGTGGGGGTGTCAGGGACCCTGGTGAGGCCCGAGCTGGTGGCTCTGCGGGTGCACTGGTCTCCCAGGAGAGGAGGCCCCGCCTTTCGCAGCTGCGTGGCCCCCTAGGCTGCATCCTGGGCGGGGAGGCGGCTCCGTCGTTGCCCCTTGGGGCGCCTGGCAGTTCTGGGGTTTCCGCCGAGACCCGAGGTGTCGGGTCCCGCTTGTCTGCCCGCGCAGGGGTCCTCGCGGGGCAGCGTGGCCAGCGGCTGCTCCTGCTGTGTGTGCGCAGGGTGCCGGGCAGGGCCGCGTGGCCGGCTCCTCCGCTCGCCCTCCCCTGGGGTGCGTCCCCTGGGCCCCACGGCCCTCTGCGCAGGGAGACTCGGGGCCACGCCTGGCGCCGCCCCGGGCCTCAAATGCCCTCCAGCTTTAGAATTCCGCCGGGCCACCCGTGCAAGGCCCGGACCCAGCTCGGCACCTCTGCTCGCGCGGGCAGCGAGGCTCTGCCCCTGGCGCCCCTCTCTGGCAGCCTGGCGCGGCCCTCTCCGGCCCGGGCCCTCACTGGCCGAGGGCTCTGGGACCAGCTGCCCCCCCCCCCACCGGGCCTCCGCAGTGGCGAGCTGTCAGGCCCTCTCTGCTCTGCTGGACAGGGCTGGCGCTTCTTCCCGGGGACCCAGGCTGCGGTGACGCACCCACGGGGTGTCATCTGGAGGACAGGCCCCACCTTGCAGCACAGCCCCCCGCCCAGGAGGCCCCATGGGGAGGGACAGGGGCCCTGGGCACCCAAGACAGCAGCCACGCCCCAAGCTCTCCCCACGGCCCCAGGCAGGTCCAGCGGATGCTGAAACTGGGGCTGAGAGGGAGGCGACCGGGCCTCACGGCCCCTCTCCCGGGTTGGACACGCCGAGGCCCGTCCTCTGGTCTGGAGCCGCTTGTGCAAACCTTAGCTGGACGCAAGAGCCATTAAAAACAGCTCTCCCCGGGATGGGGGGGCAGCACCCCCTTTCCATTCACACCAGGACATGGAGGGGTGGGCGGAGGACAGGGGCTGGCCGCACGGCTGCCCAGTCCTGCCGGCCCCGCGCCCTCCCTCGGCGGTGCAGGCATCGGGCCGCTCCCCCTCGTGCAGGCAGGCCCCGCTCCCCCTCGTCCGCCCTCGTGCAGGCATCGGGCCGCTCCCCCTCGTGCAGGCAGGCTCGTGCAGGCAGGCCCCGCCCCCTCGTGCAGGCAGGCCCTGCTCCTCCTCGTGCAGGCATCAGGCCCGCTCCCCCTCGTGCAGCCGCCTCGTGGCGCTCCCCCTCATGCAGGCAGGCCCCGCTCCCCCTCGTGCAGGCAGGCCCCGCTCCTCCTCGTGCAGGCATCAGGCCCGCTCCCCCTCGTGCAGGCAGGCCCCGCTCCCCCTCGTGCAGGCAGGCCCGCTCCCCCTCGTGCAGGCAGGGCTCCCCCTCGTGCAGGCAGGCCCCGCTCCCCCTCGTGCAGGCAGGCCCCGCTCCCCTCGTGCAGGCAGGCCCCGCTCCCCCTCGTGCAGGCAGGCCCCGCTCCCCCTCGTGCAGGCAGGCCCTGCTCCTCCTCGTGCAGGCATCAGGCCCTGCTCCCCCTCATGCAGGCAGGCGCCGCTGCAGCTCGCAGAGCGCGGAGCCAGTGCAGGGCCAGGCCCGGGGACCCGGCGCCGCGGCGCGTTGCCGTGGCAGCCGCCGTGTGTGCCCTGCCGTGTGTGACTGTGTTCTGTTCTCCTTGTAGATGGAGGAGATAAAGGTTAAAGACAGAGCAGTCTTCGTGCTGGAGAGAGAGTTAGGGGTGCAAGCCGGGCATGCTCAGAGACTGCAGCTCCAGAAAGAGGCTTTAGATGAGCAGCTGTCCCAGGTCAGAGAGGCTGACCGGCACCCGGGCAGCCCCAGACGGGAACTTCCTTATGCAAGCGGTGCAGGAGACGCCTCAGACCGCCCGGGAAGCCCTGTAAGCACCTCCCCGCGCTTCGCCGGCCACCAGGGTCACAGACAGACAGCGCCACACAAGGTAGCTGGGGGGTCCGGAGCCCTGTTCAGAGCCCCTCCCTGGGCTGGGCTGGGCCGCGGCCGGAGCAGGGCCGCGTGCTGGCGTCAGGGGCCGGTGGGCCGCGCGCCCCTGCCCCGCAGCAGGCCCGGCCCGGCCGCGAGAGGCACGCTCTGTCTCCGCCCTGGGCTGGGCACCCCGCGCACCCCGCGAGCACAGCTTTGCCTTCCCGCTGGCGGAGCCTGGCCCCTGCCTGCCCACAGAGCCTGCTCGGGTCGGCGCAGCCATTTCAGCCTCCCCTGCGCCTTCACCCCCCGCGCGTTCAGGCCGTGCTGCTCGGACCCTCCACGGGCTCCGGGCGGCACGGGTGGCCGCAGGGGCTGTGGCGTCGCCGGCCGTGGCCGCTCCTCATCCAGCCCCGGTGGCTGGGGGACCCCGAGGGGCCTGTGCTGACGGGCCTCGCCGCGGCCCCTGGGCCAGCCCCAGCCTCTCCTGCACCTGCTGAATGAGGAAGCCCCGCCCCGCCCCCCTTGGGCTCACGCGGGTTTGCTCTGCGGACAAAGCCACGTGTGAGCGGGCGGCCGGGGACAGTGCCGCGCAGGGCAGGGAGGGCCGTGCTAGCGCGTTGTCAGAAACGGCGGAGTCAGAGTGACAGCAGCCCCCACTGGGGGGCCCCGCCCCGTCGCCCCAACTCAGACAGACCCTTAGCAGGAGCCAGAGGTTTTCAGGATTGCAGCTGAAGCCCCGTGTTTCCCAAGTGGCCAGGGACGCGATGCGGGGCTCCTGTGGGGCCCCCGAGGGGCAGTGGCGTCTCCCGCCGCGGGGGTCCAAGGCGCCCGCACAGGGGCCGGCGCGGTTCCGGGGCGCCGGTCGCCCCGAGGTCCCGCGGCCTGGGGGGCGGGCGGGCGGGCGCGGGCGGCGGCTGCAGTGGCCTCTGCTCCAGGAGCAGCAGCTGGACGAGAAGGACGCGCGGCGCTTCCAGCTGAAGATCGCGGAGCTGAGCGCCATCATCCGCAAGCTGGAGGACCGCAACGCCCTGCTGTCGGAGGAGAGGAACGAGCTGGTGAGGGCCCTGCCGGGCCGTGTCCGCGGGGGGCTCTCGGCCCCGGTGTCTGTGCGGCGTCCAGGGGCGGCGCCGGCAGGACCGCGTGGCCCAGGCCAGGGGCCGGCGGGCTGGGAGGGGCGGGGCCGGGCGGGGCCCTTCTGCCGCGTCACCGCGGGTCCCCGGTGCAGCTGAAGCGCGTGCGGGAAGCCGAGAGCCAGTGCCGGCCGCTGCTGGACAAGAACAAGCGCCTGGCCCGCAAGAACGAGGCCCTGTCCCACTCGCTGCGGCGGCTGGAGAGCAAGCTGAAGCTCGTCACGCAGGAGAACGTGGAGATGGTGGGCGCCGGCGCGGGGCGGGCGGGGACACGTGGGGTGCGTGGGGACCAGAGAGGCCATCCCCTGGGGGACAAACAGAGGCGAGTGGCCGCAGAGCCTGCCCCCGGGCACAGGCCGGCACCGCCCTCCCTCCCTCGCAGAGCCCCCCCGCCACCCCCCACCTGTCTCCTGCGCCCCGGGCCTGGCAGAGGCGCGAGAGCAGGGCCGCAGGCGCCCGGGCAGCCGGGAAGGGGGGCTTTCAGCGGACGCGGGGCATGCCCTCCGCCCCGGCACCCCTCTTCTCACACTCTGCCAGCCGGCAGGAGGGGCTCGGACCCGGCACAGAGCATCCTTGGGGTGCAGAGCGCCCCCCACGGGGGCTTCATAGCACAGCCTCGGTTTCCCCAGGCTCCCCAGGGCGCACCCCCCAGACCAGCGGAGGGGCCCGCGCAGCCCCAGGGCGAGCACACAGGGCGGGTGGCCAGCAGGGAGGGCCGCGGCCCTGACCCCGCGCCGGGTTCCAGCGGCAGCGGGCGGGCGCCATGCGCAGACCCAGCTCCTTGAACGACCTGGACCAGAGCCAGGAGGAGCACGAGGTGGGCTTCCTGAAGCTGCAGATCCTGGAGCAGCAGACCCTCATCGACGAGCTGTCCAAGGTGCGGGCCGCGTCCACTCAGGCCCCTTGGCCTCACCTCCTGCCCGTGGCCACGGACGCCGGCATGGGGCCGGGAGGCTGGCACCTGGCACCTGCTCCCGCCCCCTCCCCGGGGCCCCCGAGGCTGCGGCGCGGGCACTCTCCAGTTCTCTCCCCGCCCGGACGGGGCTCGGCCGCCTGCCCAGGGGTTCCCGGCCGCCAGGCTCAGACCCCGAGTTCATTCTCTCACAGCTCTGGAGCCTGACTCCAAAACCGGGGTGTTGGCAGGGCGGTGCCGCCTCCCCAGGCCCCACAGGCTCGGGCAGCTTCCCCTGCCCCTCACCAGTCTCCCCGCCACATGGCGGGCTCCTGGCATCTGCAGAGCCCCTCCCCAAAGAAGGTCACCGTCCCAGGACCTGGGGTGGACAGGTCTTGGGGGCCCAGTCTCTTGTGTATAGGCCACATCCCAGTGGCCCTGGCGGCCAGCACAGACCATCCCCCTGGTCCCGACTCGGGGCTCCCGCAGCTGGCTGGGCCCTGGCTGCCTCTGCATGCAGAGCGGCTGCCCTGCACGGGGGCCTCGCCACGGCAGCCGCCCGAGCCCGAGCCGAGCGATCACACTGCCGGGCAAGGCCCTGGCACCCTCGGGAGCCCTCCGGGAGGGAGCCTCTCCGGGGCAGCGGGCAGCAGGCTGGGGGCAGCAGGCCAGGGCTCCCTGGGAGCCAGCCCCGCCCTCAGCCGCCGGCCTGTCCTCTCTCCCCAGACCCTGGAGACCGCCGGCTACGTCAAGAGCGTGCTAGTGAGTCTCGGCCTCCCCTCGGCGCGGCGGCGGCCCGGGCCGCACTGACCGGTGTCCCGGCCCCTCCTCCTGACCGCGCGCCCGGGCCCCGTGCTGGCCTCAGGGGCACGGGGTCCCCGGCCTGGGAGACGCTGCAGCCCCAGCGCCCGCCTGCCGCAGGCCCCTTTGCTTGCCCGGGGCGCCCGCTGCCCTCCGCGGTGGCCGGGGCCCTTGCTCAGAGCGCACCTGGCCGGGCCCTGCCCCGTCTGCCCGCACCTGTGTCTGCGCCGGCACCCCCGCCCCGCCCCCCCCCGCCCCGCCGGCCCCCACAGCCCCGCCCCACCCCGCAGGCCCGGCCCCGGGCCCCTCCAGGCCGCAGGAGAGAGCCGGAGGGGGCCAGTGCAGGCACAGCCGGGGTCTGGGATGGGGCCGAGCTTGAAGTCCGCCTCCAGGCCTGCGCGGTGAGCTCGGGTGCGTCGGGCTGGCCAGGCCGCCAGCCACACGGAAAGCCCCTCCGCTGGCCTTTGCAGGAGCGAGACAAGCTTCTGAGGTTCCGGAAACAGAGGAGGAAGATGGCGAAGGTCCCCAAGGTGCGGGCGCTGGGGGAGGGCAGGGCAGGGCCCTTGCTGCTGCGGAGTGACCGGCCGCGCCCAAGGGAAACGCCGTGCGCTCCAGCCGGGGTCACCGACCGGCCGCCTCTGCCTTTCCGGGGGACGAGCAGGAAGCCTTGCGGGCGGGGCGGGGGCGTCCCGGGCGTGAAGCCGCTGCTGTCGGGCGCAGTTGGAGATAAACCTGCGCCTTTCACTGTCGGGGCGGGCGCCCCGCGGGGGCCGCTGGAGGAGGCGCTTCCCACACCGGTGTCCTCGCGGCCGGGCGCCCTCCGCTGGGGGCCTGGGGAAGCCCCGAGCGGGCGCCGGGGCGGGCGGGGCTGACCGGGTCCTCTGGCGGCAGCCGGTGGTGGTGGAGACCTTCTTTGGCTACGACGACGAGGCCTCCCTGGAGTCCGACGGCTCGTCCATCTCGTATCAAACGGACAGGACGGACCACACCCCGTGCACCCCGGACGACGACCTGGAGGAGGTACCGCGGCGGCTGCCTCTGCCCGCGGGCCTGGCTGGGGCGGGAGAGTGGGGCCCCCACAGCCGCTTCCCTCGCCGAGCAGCGAGCGCGGGCGGAGGGCCCGGCAGCAGCACGGGCAGCCACGGCCAGCGGGGCCCGCGAGGGCAGCCGCGCTAGGGGCCGGCAGGGGGTGCTGATGCCGCGTGTCTGCAGGGCATGGTCAAGGAGGAGACGGAGCTGAGGTTCCGGCAGCTGACCATGGAGTACCAGGCGCTGCAGCGCGCCTACGCCTTGCTGCAGGAGCAGGTCGGAGGGACGCTGGACGCAGAGCGAGAAGTTAAGGTCCAAGCGCCTTCTACTCCAGCGCGTGCTACCCCTCCCGCGCGGCCCCGCCTGGGCAGGGCACGGGTGCCCCCCAGGGCCCGGGACACTTGAGGGGACGAAGGGCCAGGGTGGGAACAGTGCTGGCCATGGCCTGGCTACAGTGGGCCCGCAGGCCTGGGCCAGCAGGCACGGGGCCGCTATGCTCTTAGGGCGAGGCCACCACCCTGGCATCCTGCCAGCTTCTAGGGAGCACAGGGACAGACGTGACAAGTGTCCAGCCCCGGGAAGCCCCTCCTGGGCAGGGCCCCTCTGGGGTAAAGGACTCTGGGCCAAGGGAGCAGATCAAGCCAAGGGGGTGGGCAGCGCTCACAGCAGAGCTTGGCGAGGGCCCGTGTGGGGAGCGGGGCTGGGCCCGGGGGCGGGCGGGCACGGAGCGCAGGGGGGTGTGAGCCATGGACACAACGGCCTGCACTCCTCATGCCTCCGGGCTGGGCAGCCCTCGCTGGCGCCCAGGGGCTGGCAGCTCCCTGCCTCACGTCCCGTGTCCATCTGCCCTTTCCAGCACCTCCGAGGGTGGCAGCCCCTCCCAGGCAGGCGGGCGGCCCTGACCGCTGGGTCCCTGCGCGTGTCCCAGCTCAGAGAGAAAACTTGATGCGTCCCCCGTCCCACAGACCCGCGAGCAGCTGGAAGCAGAGGTGCAGCGGGCGCAGACGCGGATCGAAGACCTGGAGAAGACACTGGCCGAGCAGGGGCAGGTGAGCGGCAGCCCGAGCGGCCCTCCGGCCAGGCTGCCAGGGTGCGGCCGTTCTCCCCGGCTGTGCGGGGTGTCTGCACGTCCTACTCTTGCGGCCACTCAGGCCCCTGACCCGCCAGGGCCACGCGGGCCACATGCCAGGGTGCAGGGTCTGTGCTCCCCGAGCGGGTGCTTTCTGCGTGGGGCCCAGCCCCGAGCAGCGGCCTCACCAGCTGCCCACCCAGGGCCCCAGGGCGACGGCAGGTCGGGGTCTGCAGAGGCGGGTGCTGTGCCTGGCACCGGGTCTGCTGTGCGTGTCCGACCCCGCAGGCCTTCTGCCCCCCAGGACATGAAGTGGATCGAGGAGAAGCAGGCGCTGTACCGGAGAAACCAGGAGCTGGTCGGCAAGGTGCGCCGGACAATGTGGGCTGTGGGGCCGTGCTGCGGGGTCTCCCAGCCCCTCCCCTCGGGGCCCCAACACCCCAGACCAGACCTGGTGGTGGCCTGCGGTGGCACCCCAGGCTGCGCAGGCACTCCTGTGCACACTCACACACACAAGCTCCCATAACACGCGGTGCGCACGGCCACAGGAATACTGCCGTGGGCACACACGTGCAAGCGCGGGAGCCTGTGCACACAGACACACGTGCACATGCAGACACGTGTGCACATGAACATTCGTGCACGTGGAAACATGAGTGTGCAAGTCATGCATCCGCATGCACACACTTCATGGTCGCCTGTGCATAAGTTACACACACTTACATGTGCACACTGGCCTGTGGACACCAGCATTCGCCTGAATGTCTGCATGCTGGAGAGAGCACCTGGGTGTGACGTGTACATGCACGGGACATGCACATACCACACGTTGCCTGCGTGCACACGAAGCTCTCACATGTGGCTTACAGACGAGCACGTGCAACCGGTCACGTGCATACCTGCATGACACGCTGTGCCCAAGCACACAGATGCTGCGTGCTCACTGGACTCATGTGCATACCCACACACGTGCACACTGCACAGTCACACCCCCGCACACGTGGGGAGGCCACACAAACACCTGCGTGCACCTGCTCGTATGCACACTCAAACGTGCCCACGTGCCCTCAGAGCCCTGCTCTCTGGTTATGAGGTGCGTGGGGTCCCCTCTGTGGCCACAGGTGCTCCCAGAGACCTGACCAAGCCCAGGACACAGCCTTGTGGAGGCCCAGGCCCAGCACATCCCCCACTGGGAGGACCGCCCCCCTCCACGTTCTTCTAGGCCCCTTCCGCGTGTCCCAGCAGGCTCCCGAGCTCCCATTTCAGTTGAGGGAGGTGGAACACCCACGAAGCCTGCCTCCTGCATGTCCCCCGGCCTCCCGGCGGGTTTCCCGGCCTCCCGGCGAGTCCCCCGGCCTCCCGGGCTGCGGAGTGCTGGGCCACACAGCCGCCAGGGCCCGCCTCACCAGACGCAGACATGCAAGTCCAGCGTTTGCGAGGTGGTTCTGTGCTGCAGCCGTGGCCACACCCTCCATCGCACCACATGCCCCTCGGGCTCCACTGGGTCTGGTCACGGGGAGGCGGGCGCTGTTCCCTGGGCCCTTCTGGCCATCTCTGCTGGACGCCCTGCAGGGCTCAGGATGCTGCCCACGCTCCCTCTGGCGCCCGGGCCTGGCCTCCCCCAGCACAGTCAGAGGGCAGAGACTCCCCCCAGAGATGCCCTCCGGGCAGCCAGTGGCTGGCCAGCCCTTCACAGGAACAGCCAGCAGCCACAGGGCAAGGGCGGGAGATGACCCGCGTGGCCTATCTTCAGATCAAACAAATGGAGACAGACGAGGCTCGGCTAAGGCACGAGGTCCAGGACGCCAAGGACCAAAATGAGCTGCTGGAATTCCGGATCCTGGAGCTCGAGGTGCGGCACGGGAGCCAGGTGTGGGGTGGGGGTGCAGGTACAGGCATGGGTGAGGGGTGCAGGGCAGGGGTGCAGCGCGGGGTGGCAGGGGCACGGGCATGTGGCCATGGGCCGGCAGGCGTCAGGGCCCTGGCCGCCTGGCTTCTCCCCAACTGACCCAAAGGGCCATAAAGGGTGCACGTCCATGAGCGAGGGGCCAGGGCAGCTGCGCCCAGTGGGCATGTGCCCAGGGTGCCCTGGGCCGGGGAGCCTGTTCTGGAGGAAAACTAGAGCAAAAGCCAAAACAAATGGACAGAAGCGGGCGCAGGGTGGGCAGTGATCGCACTGGTCAGTCCTGCAGCAGCAGGATGGCCCTGGGGTCAGGCCCGGAGCCCAGGGGACAGGAAGGGCCGCGCAGGGGCCAGGCCGCTCTGCCTGTGCTCGGCCGCCTGCCCGGCCACGTTCTCCGCTGTGGCCCCCAGGGAGGGCTGGCCTGGACACAGCCCTGTGGTCCTCCCGCCGCCTCCCCAGGCCCGAGCCCGCCCTGCCCCATAGTCGCCACTGCAGCGGCCGCCACAGCCCCGTCCTAGCAGCCCAGGGCCCGGTGGCCAGGAGGCTGGCTTGCGAGTGGCGCCGCCTGCGGGACCCGAGACCCAGCTTTGCAGGGCGCCTCCCTGCCCTGTCCTCCTGGTCTGCGCCAAGCGTCCCCACTCGGCCCCGCTTGCCTTCCGCGGAGGACACTGATTCTGTGGAGCTGCCCCCAGAGTCTCCCTGCCTGCCTGGGGCGTGGGGCTACTTGGGCTCCTTGCTGCTCCTGGCCCTGGACCAGGAGGGCAGCAGCGCTGGTCACTCTGTTCAGGCCATGGGGACTGCTCCAAGCCTTTGAGAGCCTCCGGGGACTCGGGAGGGACCAGCCAGTCGGCCCGGGCGGGGTCGGGCCCCGGTAGGCTGGGGCAGGCACGTCGGCCCGGCTGCTGTGGGTGCCACGGGAGCTGCATGTCCAGCTGCGGCTCTGCGTCCTCGGTGTCGCCCGTGTCCCGAGGGCCCAGCCGCTCTCTGTCTTAGGAGCGGGAGAGGAAGTCGCCGGCCATCAGCTTCCACCACACGCCCTTTCCCGACGGCAAGAGCCCCCTCCAGGCCTACTGCGAGGCGGAAGGCGCCACGGTGAGCGCCCCCTCCACACCCTCCCCTACCCCCACCCCCGCCCGCCCGCGCCCCCGCCTGGCCGCCGCTCACCCACCCGGCCACTCTCGGCCTCTAGGACATCGTGGTGGCCGAGCTGATGAAGAAGCTGGACATCCTGGGAGATAACGCCGTAAGTGTAGGTGCCTCTCCTGACTCGTGCACCCCGGCCCCCCGCGGCCCCATCCCCGATCCCCACCGCCCCCCGCCACCCCCCCGCCCGGCCTGGCTGCCCGAGACCCTGCCCGACGCGGCGCCTGCTCTGGCTGCAGAACCTGAGCAACGAGGAGCAGGTGGTCATCATACAGGCCCGGACGGTGCTGACCTTGGCTGAGAAGGTAACGGACACGCCTGGTGCGCTGGGCACCCCGGGCCGGGCTGACATCGGCGGGGACAGGGTCCGGGGCGGGTCTGTCCCTCGTCTCCGGGGTCTGGCGCGAGCGCGGTCAGCCCACCCCGGCGCGTGATCCGAGGGACTGTGCCGCCGACTGCCTCGCAGCGCTCTGTCCCGCCCGCCAGGACGCTCCGTGGCGACCCTCGCCCACCCGGCCCGCCCGCCCCTGTGCCCGCCCGCGTGGCCAAGGTGTCTGGCGCCAGCCTGCCAGCTGAGGGCCGCGGCCGGCCAGGGCCCTCGGGGAACGGGCTCCGGGTCCGGCTGGGAGGGTGTGCCTCGCCTTCCCGCTCAGGGCCTCCCAGCCGTGCGCCCCCTGGCCCGGGGAAGGCGAGGGGCGCGTCCTGGAGACGGGGCTGGACCTGCCCGCAGGCTGGGCACGGGGCTCAGGACCCGCCAGCTCTGACCCCCTCGGGCAGAGGCCTCCATCCCCGCCTCCCGGGCCCGCTCGGGCGGGGCACGTGTTCATGGGGTGGCCGAGGGGAGGGGCACCGGCTCTGTTTGTGTCCAGTGGCTGCAGCAGATCGAGGCGACGGAGGCGGCCCTGCAGCGGCAGATGGCCGACCTGGAGAGCGAGAAGGTGGGGCTGGCCGCCGGGCGGGGGGGTGCCCGTGGCCGGGCGGCGGGATGGGGGGTGCCTGAGGCCAGACCCTGGCGTCCTGTGTCTCAGGAGCTGTTCAGCCAGCAGAAGGGCTACCTGGACGAGGAACTGGACTTCAGGAAACACTCCCTGGACCAGGCGCACAAGGTGAGGATGCGTGACCGCGGGAGCGGAGAGGCCTGAGGTCACCCCGTCCAGGAAGTGTCCGAGGCCAGTGTGGCCCTGGCCCCCGGGGCTGCTCCGGCAGCAGGCCGGGCCCTGGCTACACAGGCAGCGCTCGGGTGAGGGTCCCGGTGAGCTGGGCCAGGGCTCGGAGGCTGGCGGGCACCTGCCAGTGCTTGGGGAAACGGGTGTGCCCACCGTCGGCCCGGCCGCTCGCCCAGCTGACCTGCAGGAACTCCGGGCACCGCGACAGTGTCCCTGAGAACAAGGGGAGCTGAGGTCCCACAGTCACCCAGGTGGTGTGGGGGCCCCACACTGAGCTGGGACACCCTCCCTGGGCACGCACGCTGGCCCTGGCTCTGCACGGCGCGGGGGATAGCGGGTGGCCGCCCGGGGAGCGGGTTCACAGCCTCAGCCAGGCGCCGGGAGGCCCTGCCGCGTCTGGGGTGCGGCGCCTCGCCCGGCTCTGCCAGTGCCCAGCCCTCGGACAGCTCTGGCTCCTGGCAGTTGGCTCGGGTCTGAGCCTTCCCCCAGGCAGATGGCACCAGCCAGCCCTTGCCACCCCCTGTCACACGGGCCTGGCGACACGTAGCTCCAGCGGCAGCGGCCTGTGGTCCCGGAGTGCAGGAGGGGCCTGGGGGCGGGCGCTGCGCAGGGAGCCACGGGGTCCCCCGGCTGCTGTGTGGGAGTGCGGGCCGGCCCCAGGCGGGCCAGGGTCTTGCTCTGCCATGTCCGCGCTTACTGGCACGGCCAGGGGGTTGGGGTGGCTGCGCCTTAAACACCAGTGCCTCTTAATGATACCAAACACGGCCTCAGTTTCCCTCGGCCGATAAAAGAAACAGTTTGAGGCGGAGGAAGGTGGTTTGATTTGCCGGCAAACAGGAGGGCGCGGGCTCGCGTCTGAACGCCCGTCCTGCTCCTGGGTGGGGCGGGGGGCGGGGGGGGGGTGGGGGGCAGGGGGTTCACACACAGCAGGAGAACGGCGGGGTGGGTCTGCAGAGGGGAGGCGGGCAGGGCGGGCATGGCCTGTGACGGGGGCGTAGGAGGCCCGGGGGGGCCCGCTTGCCCGGTGGGCACCCGCCGTCCTGACCATCCTCTGAGGGGCGTCCGTCCCTGTCCCTAGACGGCGAGGGACGAGCGTGTCACGCGCAGCAGCGAGGGCTGCTCAGCTGGGGGCGGCGAGACCGGCCTGCGTCACTGCAGCATTAGGGGCCCCACGGCTCCCGCCCAGGGGCCAACCCCCCCGTGTCTCCCCACTGGACGCCCCTCCCCACAGAGCCAGTGCCCAGCCAGCCCACGACTCAGCGCCTCTGGGCATAGGGCCTGGCTCCCCGTGCCCGGCCAGGCTGGCCCTTCTCCTGGCCTCCTCCCTGGGCCTGTGGGGCCCCGGGCCTCTCCCCGAGGCCCCCATCGGGACCCCAAGGTCCACCACAGGCGGGGAGGCTCTGGGCTGTGGATGCGGTCACTTCGGGTTCTCAGGGCTATTCCCCAGCCAGGAGTCGCCCCCAGGCTGTGGGGGAGCTGAGCCCACCACGAGCTGCCACGGCTGGCGTCTCTCAAAGCCGCAGGAACCTCCCTGCACTCAGGCCCGCCGGCCAAAGGAGGCGAATTTGTTTAGAGAGAGAAGAAGTTTATTAAGGAGAAAAGCAATTGAGATAAAGTGGGGCCCGCAGGCGGGGGACCAGGCCGGGGAGGGCACAGGAGCCGCGTGCACACCTCAGAAGTGGACGCTGGCCTTCCCCGAAGGCTCCAGAGCCCGTCTGCCCCATGGCTGGCTGGTCCGCCGGCCTCGCTCACTCTGCCTTCACGTAGCTGCGCCCGGAGTCAAGCCCCACGTGCCAGCCTCGCCTTAGACTCCTTCTTCTTTATGGTCCTTGTTCCAGAAGGCCCTGCTGCCCCTGGCCCTGGGGTGTTTGCTTAGTCCCCTGTGCAATGTGCTGCCCTCACCTCTGGAGCCTCCTTCCTCCTTGAGGCTTCCCCAGCTCTCTTCTGACCCTCGGGGCGCCCACCGGCCCCTCCCCTCCGGGCTGTCCCCGCTGAGGCCCCCCAGAGCCAGGAAGGGAGGCTGCGGGGCGTCGCGAGCGGTGGGCAGACGCCTTTGCTGGGCCCTGGCTGGTGACCAGGCGGGTCCCCCTGGCGAGGGCGGCGGTGCCGAGCAGGGCTGGCATCCCGCAGCGCATCCTGGAGCTGGAAGCCATGCTGTACGACGCGCTGCAGCAGGAGGTGGGGGCCAAGGTGGCGCAGCTGCTGTCGGAGGAGGAGCGTGAGCAGCTCAGGGGGGCCGTGGAGCAGTGGAAGCGCCAGGTCCTGAGCGAGCTGCGCGAGCGCGACACGCAGATTCTGCGGGAGCGCATGGAGATGCTGCAGGGGGCGCAGCAGGTGCGAGGGGTGGGGCCTGGGGGGCCTGGGGTGGGCCTGGACGTGGGGTGGGGCCCGCATCAGCCTTTGGGAGAGCTGCCGCCCCCACGAGTAGGAGTCTTGAAAGGTTTCATTCACTCCCCTGCCCAAATGCTCTGGTTACGGGAGACCCTCCTGCTTTGATGTTGCAGAGAATCAAAGAGTTAGAAGAAAAGCTAGAAGCCCAGAGGAGACAAATAAAGGAACTGGAAGAAAAGGTAAAATGAGTGGCGCTCGGGGCTCCCCTTCGGGGCTCGCGCAGCGATGGGGGCGCACCCCTCCCGCGGAGCCCTCGAGGCGGGCCTGGGTCACCTGCTCTTGGAGGCTCCAGGACAGGAGCCAGTCTGGGAAGGTCACCGAGGGCTCGGTCCAGGGCCCTGTGCCCCCAGCCTCAGTGCCCCCAGCGGCCACGGTGCTGCTGGACCAGCACCCAGGGTCCAGCCCGTGCTCGTCCCGACCGGGGCGCCAAGCATGCGGGGAGACCCCGAGTCCCCTCCACACGGGCCGGAGGACACGCCTGTCCAGGGTGCTGTTTCTGTCCTCGTGCCAGGCGCCGCCAGGGCTGGGGGCAGCAGGCAGGCGTGCGGCTGGCCCAGAGCCTCGCTGATGGGCTGGGGGACCGCCCCCCTTTGCTGCACCCCGGCGCTCTCTAGGTCGGGCGCAGCCCACGCCAGGCTCTCCCTCGGGGCCTGCTGGGTCTCAGGCGGTTTTGTCTGAGGCTCGAATGGTAACGGCCAGACGGCCTCCTCGCTGCCGGGCCCACGTGACCTCCGTGTGCGCAGCGCTGAGCTCGGCCAGAGCCCGCCTCTGCCTGCCCCTGCCAGTGAGCACAGGGGCCGGTGGGGGCCCGCCAGGGCCGCACATCCCCTGGTGGGAGGAGCCATGGGGTCTGTGCTCCGGGAGAGGCCCCTTGCCGGCCCCCCTCTCGCGGCAAGGCCGGCCCTCCCTGGGTGCCGCAGTCGGCCCAGGGTAGTCACGGCCCCTGAAGCAGGCCCGGCCTGGGCGGCGCCCGAGAGTGAGGATTTGCTCCCCAGACACCAGCACTGAGGAAGCTCCCCAGGCCTGGGGTGGGGGGTGGTGCGCCCCAGGCTCAGTCCGTGAGCACCGTGTCCCTTGTGTCCTGACCGAGAGCACCTGCCGAGGCGCGTGGGCATCTCCAAGCGGGGCCTTTATTCTCTCAACCGGGGGGAGGCAGACCCCTTCCCAGCACCTGGGCCGCTGCCAGGCCCTGTCCGAGGGGCTGCCCCGCCCCGCCCTGCCCCACCCCACCCTGCCCCCCGCCCCGAGCTCCAGGTGCGACACCTGCGTGCGAGCGCGGCTGCATGGTCAGGTGTGGCGGGGCTGGGGCCCGGCTTGGCAGGGAGCGCTGGTGCTGCAGGGTCCTGACCCTCCCAGCCTGCTGGTGGGCACAACCCGCCGGCCACAGGCACGGGCTGGGCTGCCCCGCACGGGACACTGGCACCGAGAGGCCCTCCTTGCCCGCCAGGACACGCCAGCCTGGCCTCCGGTGGGCGGGGCCCGAGCAGAGCGCGCCCCGTTCTGTCTGTCTCAGGCGGGTTCTTGGCAGAAGCGCCACCAACGCTCTTCTCTCTCTCTCCCTCCCATGTCTGTCCTCCCTTCCCTTTCAGTTTCTATTTTTGTTCTTGTTTTTCTCCTTAGCGTTCATTCTCTGGTCGTAGCTTGCCTGGGCTCCCCGGCCTGGTGAGTAGGACGCGGCCACGCCCAGGGCCCGCCCCGGAGCTGTGCTGTGGGCCGGCAGGGGGGCTGCGCTGCGCCGCCACCTTCAGGGGCTCAGGTCGGGGCCTCCCCACGGGGCCGAGGGGCGCAGGAAGAAGCCCCGACCCCAAGTGTCTGCTCCGGCGTCTCGGTGGAGCTGGTGCAGCCTTCCCTGTCCTCCCGCCCTGCTGGCGTCGGAGCACCCTCGGGTTGGGCCGTCCGGCAGGCGCTGTGCTCTCACACGCCGGCTCTTGCGGAGGCTGCACAGGACGGGGCGCCGTGGCCTCAGCCCGGAAAGCTCGGCGCCTGCCCGCTTCCCCTGCGTGACCGAGCCCGGCGCTCCCGCTCCGTCCTGACCCTGCCCTCGGGATGCCCACCCCTGGAGCGGTGGCTGTCCAGGCTCCCCCAGCCTGCCCCCGGCCCCGCTGCTCGCAGCCCCCTGACCTGCGTCTGTGTCTCTTCTTCCAGCCCCCAGAGGAGCCAGACCCTCCTCCTGCGACGGGGCCAGAGAGCAGCGGGCGCCCGGGCTGCGGAAGGAGACGCCTCGTCCCGTCCCTTCAGCCCCAAGATGCCTGGTGTCCGCAGGCCCCCCCGCTGGGGAGGAGGCAGAGGGGCTGCTGAGGGCTCTGAGCACGGGATCCCCGCAAGGAGCCAGAGCAGAGCTAGTTGTGCTGACCGGGTCCAGGCTGCTAGACCTGGGCACCTCCCGGGGGCGCAAGGGCCCCGCAGAGCAGACGCCATGGCCCTCCGCGCGAGCCGCTGAGCCCATCTTCGGCGTTCCGGGAGGACAGTCCACGCAGCCCCACAGTGGTCGCGCAACAGCTGGGGCGCAGGGCCATTGCCAGCAGGGGCCGGTCACAGGACCTCCGAGGCCGAGCGTGACACCAGGTCGGCGGCCGTGCTGGGCCCGGCCCCTGCTGAGCGCGGGCTGCGGCCCCTGTCTGCGCCCCGTGCCTTGGCCAGAGGGCGGCTGCTGCAGCCCCCCTCCTTGCCCGGACGGGACTACATCCGCCCCTGAGCCTCTGAGGAGATGGGGCCTGACCGGCAGGAAGATTCAGGGGGCGTGGTCACCACGGTGGACGAGGATGGACTCCCGGAAAGGCCTGACCTCCCCCAGCGAAGCCCAGGCCAGAGGCCCCACCCGAGCCCATGGCCGCCCTGTCCAATGCTCTGGCCTGGCACCCCACGGCAGTGCCCAGCAGGGACCGCCCCTCCGCAGCAGCGAGGCGAGGGTCCCGCCACTCAGGACACCAGCCGGTAAGGGGCCGCCCTCCTCCGCGTCGTCGTGGGCGCTGACACGCCTCTGGGTCCGCCTCGCCTGGCCTGGGGTGGGCTGCGGGGCTGGGATGGTGCCCGTCTGCAGCAGGCGTCCAGGCTCTGCCGGGGGTGTCCTCTTACTCAGAGCTCAGCCTAAGAACCCAAACCAACCAGCCGGGCGCTCCAGCCCTCCCGGACTAGAACCTGAGCACCTGACGGCTGTGACCCGGGGCCCCAGCCTGGGCACTGCCTGCCAGGCCCCGGGGCAGGGCCAGCGCCGCCCTCCACCACCAGCACCCAGAGCGGCCCCTTGCTGGCTGCTGGTGCCAGCTTGAAGGCACCAAGGCAGAGCCCGAGCACACGGCACGCTGCCTGAGCGGAGAGGGCAGGGCCCGCGCCTGTGTGGGCGCTGGACCTGGTGCGTGACCAGCTCTGGGCTGCCACGACCAACTCCCCGGAGCAGAGGGGTCCTCAGGCGGCCCCGGCTCCCCCAGGGTGCACCCAACAGGCCTCGGAGACTCGTGCTGAACAGAGCTTCTGTCTCCGTTCTCTTGCAGGGTGCGCCCGCGGAGGGAGCCAGGCCCGGCCCGGAGAGCCGCAGCCGACACGGCTGACCCACGGCCCTGGGGCCGCCCCAGGCTGCGAGTGCAGGGCATGTGCGTGTGGGCCTGTGTATGGGGGCATGTGGGTGTGTGTGGGCATGTGTGGCTCCATGTGCGTGGGACAGGCACATACAGGCGTGTGCCCGTGTGCAGGGTGTGTGGGCATGTGGATCTGTGTGCAGGGGCGTGTGGATCTGTGTGCAGGGCGTGTGGGCGTGTGGATCCATGTGCTGGTGGGGGGGTGTTCTCACCCCGGAGGCGGCCCCGGATTTGGGGTCCCAGGGCCTGCACGCTGCAGGGTCGGGCAGTAGCCCAAGGACGCCGGTGCCAGGGGGCCTGGGGTGGGGCTGGTCCAGATGCCCAGCCACTGGAGTTTGTGTCGGAGGACGTGCCTTCCTGGTGTGACGCCTGCTCAGTCCCTGAGATCGGGGTGCTCCCGGCATAAAGTGGCTTCCCGGGGTGCAGGCTCTGCTGGGGCGACACTGGGTGCTCCTGGCCAAGGAGGACTCGCCCTCCTGTCTCCGCTGAGCCTCTGTCGCTGAGTGGCTCTGCCGGACGCAGGAGGGTCCTGCAGCGGCGTCTGCATCCTGCCCTCTGCGGCCGCGCGCCTCAGAGGGCTCCATTCGTGGCCCCTGGGCTGAGTGATGAGCAAGGGAGCGCTGCACGGGCCGCCCGGGGGCTGTGGCGAGGCAGCCGCAGCCAGGCGCCCCGCCCGGAGCAGCAGCTGTGCAGGAACCCCGAGGCCCAGGGGGTCTGGGATCGCTGAGGTGCGGCTGCTGGGCTCCCGCCTGGAGGGTCCCACATCCCACCCCCGCCCTCAGCGAGTGACCTGCAGGGCAAGGCCGACGGAAGGGAGGCGCCGGGGCGCTGCGGCCTCTGGGGCAGCGTGTGCGGGCGTCTGTGGCCCACCTGTCCCCGAAGCTTCTTGTTTGGCGTGTCCACTCCTGTGTCCACGGCGCCTTTTCGCCTGATGACAGAACCCAGCATGTTCGTTCTGGGCTTTTGCCGAGGAAGGGCAAAGGAGGACAGCGCGTGGGGCGTCCCCAGGCTGCGGGCAGCGAGCGCCTGGGGGCTGGAGACACCCCAGCCTTTGCGCAAACAGGGCCTGCCTGGCACGCTCGCCAGCCCATGGGGACGGGTGGCCCATCACGCCCCGTGGGCCTGGAGGGGGCCTGCGCCGCGGGTGCCCCGTCTACACGGCCCAGGGCACAGCTGCCTGCCACATGCCCCCCCCACCCTGGCGCCCAGCCCCTCCTGGAGCGCCCTGCCCCCGGGCGCAGCCCCAGGACACCTGAGTGCCTTACAGGAGTCGCGCCCCGGCTCCCCGCCGTCCTGGGCCTTCGCACGAGTGTGTTTCAACACGGCAACGGGTACGTCCGGCTCAGGAAAACGAGTTGTAAATACATGTATCAAATCGTATATTTGTTCACTGTATATTTTTTAAGAGCTTTATTGTAAATTTACGCAAAAAAGAGCGAGCACCGGCCCCGCGGGGTGTGCCAGGCGCCTGCGTTCTCCCGCGCCACCCTCCGCGCTGGCGGCGCCCCCACCGCCCGCGACGGCCGCTTCCCAAAGCCGACGCCTATTTTTGTATTGTGATTCCTCTGACACAGACCAGAGAATTTTTACTCGTTTGTAAATGATTGTACAGTTTTAATAGGACATTGTTTTAAATCTTAGACTAGCCAAGGCCCCTCCCACGGGATTAAAGTTCGGGCTCGTGGTCACGCCGCCACTCCGTGTTCCGTGTCCGTTCTCTGAGCAGAAACGCCTCCTTCCCCGGGGGGAGCCGGGGCCGCTGCCTGCTGGGGAGGGGGCGCCTTCCCTGCCCCTTCCTCGCTCCGGGGCCGTCACCCGGCGGCAGCCCTGGGGCCAGAGGCGCCCAATGCCCCCGGCCGCTCCCCCAGTGAGCCAGCTGGGCGCGCCCTGCCCTTCTCGGGAAGGGGGGACTGCGAGTGGCCCACGTGCGCGGGTTTCCGTCCCAGGCGACCATGGGGAGCAGAGGCTCGTGCTGGCCACGAGGGGCACAGGAGCTGGGGCCGGGGAGTGTCCGCTGTGCTTTGCCAACCTGCAGGCCTGGGTCTGCAGACCGGTCCTCATGGGGTGGGCTGCGAGGGTGCCCCGCCTGTGGCCCTGGGCGGGCCGAGTCCCTCTGCTTCTCGCCCCAGGCCCCAAGCCCCCCTTCAGGGCCGCCCGGAGCAGCCAGCTGGACACACGCCCCAGCCTGCCGCTGGCCACAGACGGGCGAGCCGGGGCCGCCTTGCTGGCGGGGTCTCCCCGGGGCTGGGCAAGTGACTTCCAGTGGCGGCCTCTCCCGCCTGCGAGCTGCCCCCCACCCTGCTTCTTGCGGGCTGAGCGGGTGGGGGGACCCACCGCACCCCAGGGCCTGCGGCAGCGCTTTGGGAGGCGGCCCGGCGCTTCAGCACTCACTGCGCGGACAGCGCCGGTTCCCTCCTGGGCGCGCCCCATCCCGGCGCCCCGAGTCTGCGGCGCTCAGCCAGCACCGGCCTCCGCCCTCCGGCCAGGAGCGGGGGACGCAGCAGCCCCCACCGGCTCCTCTGGCTGCGGAGCCCCGTCCCCCGCCCGGCCTGCCCGCGAGTCCGCGTCCCTTGCAGGGCGGGGGGGGCGCGGGGGGGCGCGTCTCGGGAGGCGTCTCCGCCGCGCGCACTCGGGACGCGCCCGGCCGGCCCTGCCCGGGCAGCGGGGCTGTGCAGGGCGCGCCGGGGCCTGAGCCTGAGGCCGGCCGGCCCTGCCGCCCGGGGGCCTCGCCTCGGGGAGCCGCGCCTGAGCAGACGCGGGGCTCCTCCCCGCCAGGGGCGCGGGGGCGCGGGCGGACTCGGGGCTCCCGCCGGGCCTGGCGGGCGGGGCGTGGGCGGAGGGGCGCGGGGCGGGGCGCGGGGCGGGGCCAGGAGCGGGACCCCAGCTCCGCGCGCAGACGCCGGGCGCCCCCGCACGCGCCCCAGCTCCGCGCGTCGCCCCCGGTGCCCCCGCGCCGCCCGCGCCCGCCCCGCGCCCGCCCGTGCCCGCCCGTGCCCGCCCGTGCCCGCGGGGACCGGCCGCAGCGCGAGGGCGCCGAGGAGGAGCAGCATGTCCTTCCCGGGCAAGAAGAGCGCGCCCCGGATCGCGGTGAGCCCCGCGCGCGCCCGCAGCCCCGGCGCCCCGCGCCCGCCCCGCCCGGAGCCGGCCCCGCGCCCGAGAGGCCGCGGCCCGAGTGGGAGCTGCCCCCGGCCCGGCCCGCCCGGCCCGGCCCGGCCCGGCCGGCGACCCCGCCGCGCGGCGCCCGCAGCTCTTTGTCCGGCGCAGACAAAGCGGCCGGAGCCTGGTCCGCGGGGCTCGGGCCGGCAGCGAGCGCCCCCCGCCGCCGGGCGGCCCCCAGCACGCCCAGGCCCGGCCCAGGGCGACCCCGGGGGGAACAAAGCCGCGCCGGCCTCGGGGTCGCGCCGGCCTGGGGCGCCCCGCGGGCTCTGGGATCCCGCTCGGAGGCTGGGGGCGCCCCTTGGGGCGGCCTGCACGTCCCAGACGCTAGGGAGGGGGAGCCGGCGCCTGCCGCACAGAGGGGTTCACCCAAGGCCAGTCCAGGACAGCCGGGGGCGCGTGGGGTGGGGGTGGCAAGAGGACCCGCCTGGGGGCATGCGTCTAGGGTGCCCCCCCCCCGTGAGCCCAGGCCCCCCGCAGGCGTTTCCCTCTTGGGTCCGAATCAGCCAAGCCCCGGAGTCTGAGCTCTGGTGCCTGGAGACTGGGGGGCAGGCAGGGGGCCCCGAGCCCCAGGGTCTTCCTGAGGGGGCAGAGCAGGGGCCCTGGCGCCTCTGTCCCCCCCTGGTGGGCACCGGGGCGGTTGGGGGTTGAAGCCAGGCACTGGCCCCCCGTGGCGGCTGCGCCCAGACCAAACCCGACGTCAAAGCCGCCTCTGCGGGTCCAGAGGGGCAGCGTGGTGGTGGCACCGCGGGGGCCGCCTGGGGCAGGGCCCCTCCGGCGTGCTGTGCCCACGCACCTGCCCCATTCCCGGGCCCAGAGGCCACCGGGCCACGCGGTGGGTCCCGGGACAGGCCTGGCCACCCCGTCATCTGCCGGCGGACGCTGTCCTGCAAGGGGGGCATCGCGCCGCCCGTGTGCGGGGAGCCAGTGTCCCGTCCCGTCTCCGCAGAGTGACCGCCTGCTGATCCGGGGCGGCAAGGTGGTGAACGACGACCAGTCCTTCCACGCCGACGTCTACGTGGAGGACGGCCTGATCAGGTGAGCGCGCGGCAGGCGCCGGCTCGCGGGCTCCAAGGCAAGGCGGCAGCCGCGTCTGCCCTGGCGTGGCCCGGACAGCCCGAGGAGACGCCACGGCGGGCGGGGCCTCAGCCGAGCCGCCAGGGCCTCTGTTGCTTCCAGGCAAATCGGAGAGAACCTCATCGTCCCCGGGGGCATCAAAACCATCGATGCGCACGGCCTGATGGTCCTGCCCGGAGGGGTAGATGTGCACACGAGGCTGCAGATGCCCGTCCTGGGCATGAGCCCCGCTGACGACTTCTGCCAGGGCACCAAGGCGGCCCTGGCAGGGGGCACCACCATGATCCGTGAGTCTGGCCCTGCGAGAGGCATTCAGGGCCATCTCCCTCCGGGGTGGCCGGCCCGAGTGCCCGCCCTGGGCTGCTCTGGGTCTTTCTGCTGGCTCCGCTCCGGCGTGCTCCCGGGACTCAGCGCCAGGGTGTGGGTCCAGGTACTTGTTTTGCGGGAAGCCGGCACCTTGCCGAGGGCGGGGCTTGGAAGCCCAATGCCTGGCCAGGGAGGGCACTGCCCCAGACCCGCTGCCCCAGCTGCCCGCCCTGCGGTCGGCACGCCGGACTCCCCGCGGCGAGGCTTTGAGGAGGAGCCATGCTGCAGAAGGACGACGCAGCGCCGCTGCCCCACCAGCCCGGCCTGTCCCGTCACCTCCCAGCTCAGCAGGGAAGCCTTCGAGGGCTCTGGGCGCCTGGCCCCAGGCCTGGAGGGTGTCTGTGGCTCAGGCCTGTCTGAGGGTCCCCATGCGCCCCACCAGGCTGGCTGCGTGGCTGCCACTGGCTCGGCTGGGCCCCACGTCACACCCTGGGGACCAGTGCCCGAGGCAGGGCCCCCCACGAGGTGCCCAGGGTGCCGTGAGCGGGCGCCCCTCAGCGGCGCCCTGGGGGCCACATGAAGGGAGGGTGTGTTTGTTTGTGTTGGGGGGTCCGGGCAGAGGCGCCCTAGGCCCAGAAGTCGGGGTCTTGCAGCGGCGGAGGGCGGGAGTCAGGGCTGGGCTGACCGCGCTGCCCCGCAGTGGACCACGTGCTCCCCGAGGCCGGCGTGGGCCTGCTGGCGGCCTACGAGCAGTGGCGGCAGTGGGCAGACAGCGGGGCCTGCTGCGACTACTCCCTGCACGTGGACATCCCCCGCTGGCACGACAGCACCAAGGAGGAGCTGGAGGCCCTGGTCAAGGACAAGGGTGAGGCGGCACCGCAGCCCTGCCCAGCGGAACGGGATGGCCCCCTGCGGCCCCGCGGCTCCACCGGCTTCTCCAGGGCCAGCGTCCCCGGGGAGTGGCCGCGTGTGGGGGTGGGGGGCTCCGTTTCCCTGCGACAGGACTTGGCTCCTCCCATTAGCACCTTCCCGGGGAGTGGGTGTCCCGGGCCGTCCGTGAGGTGCCCCTAGGAGAGGCGGCCCTGGCCGGGGCCTCTGGAGACAGGGGCCCGGCCGCCTGCCCCCCGGCTCTCCGCAGGTGTGAACTCCTTCCTGGTCTTCATGGCGTACAAGGACAGGTGCCAGTGCACTGACGGCCAGGTGGGGGCGGGGGCGGGCGGGGTGTGGGGGGCGGGCGGGGCCGTTCTCCTGGGAGGTCCGGCCCCCCAGCAGCCCCGGCACCTCCCCAGATGTACGAGATCTTCAGCCTCATCCGCGACCTGGGAGCCTTGGCCCAAGTGCACGCGGAGAACGGGGACATCGTGGCGGAGGTGCGGCCTGGGGCGGGTGCCCCGCCCCTCTGTGTGGGTGCTGTACCCACAGGTCCCCAAGGAGGAAGGACGCCCCCATTCTGATGAGTAGCTGCCCAGGGCCAGCGCCCCCCTGGGTCCCAGCCGGGGCGGCTCCGGGCTGGCATGCGGGGACTCTGTGCCCGCCAGGCTGCTGCTCTCCCAGCTGCCCCCGCCGAGCCCCGCGGCGGCGCATGAGGCTGAGGCCCAGATGTCAAGAATGAAGGGTGTTTGTAGGAGACGTGTGGTCCCCCCACTCTGCAGAGCCCCAGCGCATCTGCACGAGCCCCTGGGGAGGGGCGGGGGTGAGACAGCCCTGGGCGGGAGCCCCGCAGTGCCTCGGGGGCCTCACCCACGCCCCGGTGCCCACAGACCCCTGCTCCCAGACCCCTTCTCCCTGGGCTCCCTGTGCTGGGGGGAGGGGCCCACAGCCAGTTCGGGGGGCGGGGCCCCACATGAGAGGTCTGCAGGCCTGGGGTTCTCTTGGGGCCCCGGGCCCAGGCCGAGGCTCTGCAGCCACATCCTCCCGTCCACCCAGGAGCAGAAGCGCTTGCTGGAGCTGGGCGTCACCGGGCCCGAGGGCCACGTGCTCAGCCACCCCGAGGAGGTAGGAGAGAGGCGAGGGCCCCGCGGCTGCACCCCAGGCTTCACCTTCCGCAGGGCTGGGCCGTGGCTCTGACCGGTCTTGTCTGGGAGGCGCCCCCCCCCCCCCCCGTCCCCATGGCTATGGCCCACGCCCTTGCTGGTGGCTGGAGGCGGGGTCCTGCGGGTGGCCGCCTGCGTCTGGAGGCCCAGGGTCCCCGCGCGGCCTGAGCGCCCCGTCCCCAGGTGGAGGCGGAGGCTGTGTACCGGGCGGTCACCATCGCCAGGCAGGCCAACTGCCCGCTGTACGTCACCAAGGTGATGAGCAAGTCAGCGGCCGACCTGGTCGCCCAGGCCAGGCGCAGAGGTGAGCGGCCGGCCCGGCCAGACCTCCCAGGCCTGCGGGACGCGCGGCCACAGCAGTGGGGTGCCGCGGGTGCGTGCCTGGCCTGGCACGGCAGGCCCCTTGAGGACCCGAGCATTCCAGGCACCTGCAGGCCCAGCTGAGGCTGCTGGGCTGGCCCCACAGGGCCCGCGTGACCCCTGGGCTGTCGGAGCGGGGCCGGGGCAGGCTCGGGGGGGGGGTGACAGGAGCCTGGGGTCCCCACACCACATTCCAAGGAACTGGCTCCCCGGACGGGCCCTGGCTGCCCGGGGAGGCCCCGGCGCTGTCCCAGCGGAGAGCACGCCTGGAGGGCGGCGGGCGGGGCCAGCGGCGGGCCCGGCACCTCTGGCCGCCTTCCCCAGGCGTGGTCGTGTTCGGGGAGCCGGTGACCGCCAGTCTGGGCGCTGACGGGTCCCACTACTGGAGCAAGAACTGGGCGAAGGCCGCCGCCTTCGTCACCTCGCCCCCCATCAACCCGGACCCCACCACTGCCGACCACCTCACCTCCCTGCTGTCCAGGTGAGGCGCTGCTCGGCCTCCCCGCCCGCGGGGCTGGACCGTGGCTCTGACCAGTCCTATCCGGGAGGCGCCCCCCACAACCCGGACCCCATCAACCCGGAGCCCCACTGCCGGCGCCCCCCAGGCTGGGTGGGCAAGGCCGAGCGGCCTTTGCTGGCTCAAGACCGTCAGCCCCTCTGGGCTCCCCGACCCCCTCCCTTGCCCTCAGCGGGGACCTCCAGGTGACTGGCAGTGCCCACTGCACCTTCACCACGGCCCAGAAGGCTGTCGGCAAGGACGACTTCACGCTCATCCCCGAGGGCACCAACGGGGTGGAGGAGCGCCTGTCGGTGGTCTGGGAGAAGTGCGTGGTGAGCACAAGGGCGGGCGTGGGCGGCCCCGGCGCGGTTCTGGCCGCTCCGAGGAGGCTCTGCAGCTGAGGGCGGCCCTCCCCTCCCCGGGTCTGCGGCCACCCGAGGACCTCACCCGTACCCGCAGCTCGGGGACAAGGGTCCCGGCCCCTAGCGGGGCCACTGGACGCGATCACTGCCCCGCCCAGCCCTCCGGCCCCCGGCCTGCCCCGCAGCCCCAGCCCGGAGCCCCGTGGGGGGCCTCCTGGCCACCCCAGGGAGACAGTCTCGACCTTCAGGGGGGCATCGCTTACTTACCCACAGAGCCAGCCAGAAACCAGGCGCCAAGCCCTGCAGGGCCCCCACCACCCTAGGGCCTGGCTTGAGGCTCAGGGAAGGGGCCTCGCCGCCCCCCGCCCCGCCCCAGCTCCCCCTCTGCTCCCCAGGCTTCGGGGAAAATGGACGAGAACGAGTTCGTGGCCGTGACCAGCACGAATGCTGCCAAAATCTTCAACTTTTACCCAAGGAAGGGGCGCGTGGCTGTGGGCTCCGACGCAGACCTGGTGCTCTGGAACCCCAGGGCCACAAAAATCATCTCCGCTAAGAGCCACCACCTGGTAAGAGACCCCGGCCCAAGCCAGGGCAGGGCAGGCCGCAGACCGGCCGCAGCTGGGCACAGAGGGCGAGGCCTGGCCCTAAGCTGCGATGGGGCTGGGGAGCCCCCAGGGACGGCTCCTCACAGGGTGCACCCCCACTGCTGCGCTCCCCACCCCGTCCTTCCCAGCGACTTGGGCACGGGTGCCAGGCTGGCCCGTCCACGCTGACCCGTCACCCCGAGCTTGTGGAGGACCGCCGCGGGCCTGGGGACGCCGGCCACGGGGTGGAGGGCACGGGCGGGCAGGGGCCAGGGCCCAGCGCTGCAGAGCTGCAGCCGCACCTCCCCCCAGAACGTGGAGTACAACATCTTCGAAGGCCTGGAGTGCAGAGGGGCCCCCGCGGTGGTCATCAGCCAGGGCCGCGTGGTGCTGGAAGACGGGGTCGTGTCTGCCACCCCCGGCTCTGGCCGCTTCATCCCGCGGAAGACCTTCCCCGAATTTGTGTACAAGAGGATAAAAGCCCGGAACCGGGTAAGGCGGCCCAGGCGCGCCCAAGTCCCTGCTCCTCTGTGTCCTGCGGGTTCGGCCAGCCCGGCCCCACCACCCCGGCAGTCGGGGGCGGAGCCAGCCAGGGCACGGGCACCCCGGAGCCTTCCATGGGCCACACCGAGCAGGAGCATGGCGGGACCGTCAGGTGCAGCTGCTGGTGAGCCCCCGGCCGCCCAGAGGCCCTGGGGCAGAGGCGTGCGTCCAGCAGCCGGTGGGCACTTCCCGGCGCCCTCCTCCCCTGGACACTGCGAGCCACCCCACGAGGCCACACCCCACCCACCATGCCCCGCACGCCCAATCCACCCCCACGCTGCCCTGGGGCTGCGCACAGGCCACGGGGGGAGGGGCCGGGGCAGCGCCCGGGGGGCCACCTCCTCCAGGGAGGCTCTGGGTCTGCCTCCGGCAGGCAGAGGCGCCAGAGCTGACCCCAGGCTCTGCCGGCCACACTCGGGGTGCTGGGACCCCTCAGGGCAGGTGCTGGCTGGGAGGCTTTGTCCTCTTCAGGGCTACTGGGAAGCGCCTCCTGCTTTGGGGCCACTTGAGGGAGGATAGTCCCAGGGCCCCCCTCTTAGGGGGGACCAGGAACACCAGTTCGGAGAGGTGGACGCGGGGTGGGGCCTGACCATTCCAAAGAGAAGCGCCTCTCACGGCTGTTGGTGCCTCCCACCCGGGCGGCTCTGGGCTCCTGGGAGGCGCTTGCGCGGGTGTGGGGGGAGGGGAGGCGCTGGGCAGGTGTGGGGAGGGGCAGGGGCCGGGGGTGGGGAAGGGCGGGAGGCACGTGCAAAGGCGTGTGCACGGGTGCGTGGAGCAGGTGCCATCCAGGCCGGGCACTGGCTCCCTGGCTGCTGGCGCTCAGCACTCACACCGGCCCCTGGCCTGCAGCTGGCGGAGATCCACGGCGTGCCGCGAGGCCTCTACGACGGGCCGGTGCACGAGGTGATGGTGCCCGCCAAGCCCGGGGGCGGCGCCCAGGCCCGAGCGTCCTGCTCCAGCAAGATCTCAGTCCCCGCCATACGCAACCTGCACCAGTCGGGGTTCAGCCTGTCTGGTGAGTGAGTGGGCACGGGTAGGCTCTGCCCAGCGTGGCCCAGCCTGTGCCTGCCCCAGGGCGCTTGGGGGCTGTGCCTGCCCCCGAGCACAGCAACTTGGATCACCTGGGGAGGGGCCGGGCCACCAGGGAGCGAGGCCAGCTGGGAAGCTCCGCCGTGTCCCCTGCCGCAGTCAGCACCCTGGGGCTGTCGCTGCGAGCCCAGGGGCCATCAGACACCCCCTCTCTGGGCGTGCCCCTCCACCAGCCCTCACAGCCCTGCGCCCTGACCCCGTGGGCCCCAGGGGAGGATCTGTGGGCACTCGGGGACACGCTGGGTTGGCCCAGGGGTGTGGTCCCAACTGCGGCTTCTGCTCAGGGCCGGCTGTGCGCCCAGCGAGTGACTGATTCTTGCAGAGGCCCGAGCCCCAGGTCCTCTCAACCCCAAGGGGTGGCCCGGCCGGCGTCCCGCCTCGTCCCCTCCCCAGACGGATGAGACCCGGGGTGCAGGAGCAGGGATTCCCCTCAAAGTCCGGCCTTGTCCGAAGGTGGCGCTGCCTTCCGGGGCGGGCAGCGCAGGCCAGGCCGAGACCCCCTCCGGGCAGCAGAGCGGCTGCCTCACTGGACGGTCAGTCCTGGCCTGTGGCCGTGGGGCGCCAGGGCTCCCGGCCCACGAGGCCCCCATCCTCCTCCGCAGGCTCGCAGGCGGACGACCACGTGGCGCGGCGCACGGCCCAGAAGATCATGGCGCCCCCGGGCGGCCGCTCCAACATCACCTCGCTGTCCTAGCCGGCTCGGCCAGCTGGGCCGCCAAGGGCCGTCTCCCCGCCGCTCCCCTGAGTTGTTCTGAACTTTGGGCCTTGCCGTCCCCCCCAGAAACCCTCCTTTTGGGGTCCCAGGTCGTGTGTGCAGAGGCCCTGGGGGGGTTGCCTCGGGGGGGCCACTGCCAGGGTGAGGCGCAGGGACAGCTCGAGTGGCCGGGCCTGGGCGCTGGGAGACACCCGTGGGCGGAGAGGCCGTCCCACCCTCAGCCCCGCGGGGCCGGCCGGGCAGTGTGAGCATCCACGGCCAAGGCGCATCCCGCTCCGCCGCGGCCAGTGTCCTCCGAGCCTCTTGTCGGGCGAAGTGGCGCCGTCTGGAGTGAATTAAAGGCTTGGCAGCTGCTGGTGTGTGGAGTCGCGACTTCTCTGCCCCCTCCCCGCCCCCACGGGGCTGACGCTTCATGCTGGCCGTGACGCTGGCCGTGAACCCCAGCCCACCTGGCAGTGACAGCCCTGCGGGCTGGGGAATGAGGGCCCTGCCCTTCAGGGAGGGCCCTGGAGCCTGCGCCCCAGCCCAAGGCTGCCCCAGAGACAGCGCAGGGGCCGGAGGGCCCTGCGGGTCTCAGCCCCGGGTCAGGGAGAGGCTGCCTGGGAGGCCTCCGCTCAGTCTGAGGACCAGGCCCCGGCCACCCAGAGAGGGGGCAGCGCGGCCTGACAGGCCACGTGGGCCGTGGGGGCTGCCTAAGCAGCCCCATCTCCACCCACAGAACGGCTGGCCTGTCCCCACGCCGCCGCAGGACCCGATCCAGACGGGCCTCAGAACCTTCCAGAAGGAGAGTGCCGGGTTGGCTCCCGACCACAGCCCCTCCCTGTGGGTCCCCGCCCAGGCCGTGGGGTACAGGGCCTTGCCCACCGGCGCCCCATGATCCAGGCTCAGGCCGGGCGGGCGACACCAGGCGGCTCCCATGCCACGATGCGCAGTGAAGACCATACAGAGGCGGCAGGAGTGGCTGGAACAGTTTGCATCTCTATAAACATTCTCCCCGCCAAGACCCCCCGCGGGGGTGCAGGAGACCCGCAGTCCGGGCGCACCCTGCTCCGAAGGCAGTGGGGTGCAGGGAAGGGGCGAGGCTTGCACATGGGGGGGCTTCCCCCCACTCCACGCGCAGGCCCCCCGGGCCCCGCCCACACCGTGGGCAAGTCTGTCTGGAGCCCGCGGGCTTGGCGCCCAGGCGGTCGTGAAGGTGTGGCCAGGGCGCTGGGCCCCTGGCTGCCCCTCGCCGAGGCCTGGTCTCCAGAGCAACCTGAGTGAAGTCCCGGAGGGCAGGCGGCCTAGCTGCTCCCGCCAGAGTGGCAGGCAGTGCTGCAGGAGGGCCGGCCTGGGTGCGGGTCGGGGTCCGCCAAGGGCTCGCTGGCACCCCCGGCCTCGGGCAGGGGCTCGGGCGCGGGGTCCTGGGTCCTCTTCAGCCTGGCGGGGAAGCACACACGGGCCCTGCCACAGTCCTGCTGGGCCCAGGCCCTGGGCAGTGTCCCTCAAACCGTACCAAGTGCCCACATCTTGCCCAGGGCCCTAGGCCAGCTCCGCCCAATGAGGCCTCCTCCTGGCCCAGCTGGGCGGGAGTGGGGGTGGGAGGTGACCTCCGCCCACCTGCAGCCAGAAGCTGAAGGAGCAGGAGCCAAGCTCCCCGCTGGGCCCCGCGCCAGGCTGCCAACAGCCTGCCGCCGCCTTACCCGCACAGAGCTGAGTGTGCCCACGCCGCGCCTGCGGCGTCCTGCTCGCCGGCAGCACAGGGCAGCGCCGGGCAGCGCCGGCCTCCTGCCCCCAGCACCGCGCGCGCCGGCAGCTCCCGGGCCTGCCGGCCAGCTGTGCCCTCCGCCAGCTGTGCCCTCCGCCAGCTGTGCCCTCCGCCAGCTGTGCCCTCCGCCCCGCCGCCGGGGACGGCTCTGCCAGGGAAGACCGTCCTGGGGCCCGGGGCGCACCTGCCGCGCCCGCCCAAGGCGCCGCGCTGGGGACCCCGCCGGGGCCGCGCCACTCACCTCTCTCTGTTGAAGATGACGAAGTCCTGCTGGATGGCGTCCAGGCAGTCCTGCAGGTAGTCGTGCTCCTGCGCGACACGCCGTCAGCCGGGCCCGAACCCGCGCCCGCCCGCCCGCGCCCGCGCGCCCGCCCGCGCGCGCACCGACTGGGAGCCGTCCCTGCTGCTGTCCCGCGAGCGCGTCTTGGCCAGGCGCTTCTTCTTCTTGTGCAGCGGCCGCGACTCCAGGATCATCTCCTCCAGCTCGAACGTGGGGTCGCAGTGCAGGCGGCCTTTCTGCGGGGGGCAGCGCTCGGCCGGCTGCGCCCCCACCCCCGCCCGCGGCCCCGCCCCGCCAGGACCCCGCCCCGCAAGGAGCCCCCTCGTCCCCGCCCCCACCGCGCCCCCTCCCGCCGCGCCCCGCCTACCCTGCCAGCACCCCTCCCCCCGCCCCCCACCCGCCAGGACCCCGCCCCCTCGCCCCCCACCCCGCAAGGACCCCGCCCCCCCGCAAGGATCCCCCCTCGCCCGCCCCCCCCCGTCTCGCCCCGCCCCCGGACCCGCCCACCTGCACAGCACCCCGCCCCCTGCCACTCCCCACCCACCCCTCAAGACCCCCTCAAGGACCCCCCGCCGGGGCCCCGCCGCCCCCGCCCCCGCCGCCCCGCCCCGCCCCGCCCCGCCCCGCCCCGCCCCGCCCGCGGCTCACGTTGGGCACGAAGCCGGGCTCCACCTTCTTCTCGCTCAGCTGGTCCCACAGCACGTCGGCCATGGAGGGCACCGCCTGGATGTCCCGGAGGCTGGCGCAGCGGTGCGTGGGGTTCACGGACAGGAGCTGGAACGAGGCCGCGTCAGCCCGCGGGGACCAGGCCTGCCCCGCCGGGGGACACGCCCGCCCGCCGGCCGGTGAGGACAGGGGCGCCGGCTCCAGGCGGGCCGCCTGGGCAGGCCTGGTCTGTCCGTCCACACCCGGGACCCAGAGGCACCTGGGGCGGCAGGAGGGCCCTGCGGGGTCAGCGGCCGGGGCGGCTGCGGCCGGCCGAGCACCTGACTCCCGCGAAAGGCCGCAGGCCCCGAACCAGCCGCCCCTCCCAGTCCGGCCGGGCTCTCCACGGCGCTGCCCCTCACCTTCCGCAGCAGGGCCACCATGTCCTTGGACCAGGTGGGGGCGTACTGGACGCTGGCAGTGCTGAACAGCTGCACCAGGGTCTCCACGGCGTTGCTGGCGTGGATGTCATAGGGCCTCTGGGGCAGGACGCAGCACGTCACCCGGCCGCCCAGGCCCGAGGGGTGACTCCGGAGGGCCAGGAGGGCGCCTGCCTCAAGGCCGAGGCCCCCAGGGGCTGGGGGCCATTTGAGGCCGATGCAGCCCCAGCCTCCTCACAGCTGCCGGGCAGCCTCAGGGGCCCGTGTAAGGCTCTCGTGGGAAGCCATGGGGAGGCCCCGCCCCCGAGGGCTGTCCACCCTGTCCACACCCAGAGGCCAGCGTGCAGACCCCAGGGACACCCGGGGCCAGGGCTGCTCCCTCCCAGTGGGGCTGGCTCGGGTGGGGAGGGGGCGTACCCATCCACGCAGCAGCTCGTAGGCCATCACCCCCACCGACCACCAGTCCACCTCAAAGGAGTAGCCGGTCCCCCCGTTGACGAAAGACTGGAAGATCTCCGGAGCTTCCAGGGAAGGAGGGGCAGTGAGCACCCCCACTGCAGGCCTGTGGCCGGTCAGTCCTTCCCTGAGACCCCCGTCCAGACCCAGCCCCAGGCCGCGTGGGTGGGGGCAGCACCCTGAGCCCCACCGCACCCACCCGCCCCACCGGGGCACACTCACCCATGTAGGGCTTGGTCCCCGCCAGCGCGGTCGCGCGCTCCCCGTCCTTGATGATGGTGGCGATGTTGAAGTCCGTCAGGTGGGCGTGTCCTTTGGGGAGGGACAGCATGACGTCCCAGGACAGTGGCCCCTGGGCAGGGCTGCCCCCACACCCGCCCCGCGTCCGCCGCCCACCTTGCTCATCCAGGAGGATGTTGTCAGGCTTCACGTCTCTGGAGGGAGAGCAGAGCGGTTCCGAAACCCGCCGGCTCCCGACTCGGGGTCCCACGAGGACCCTGCCGCGGAGCCGGGCCGGCGGCCGCCCGTCCACGCGGGCTTCCAGAGCTGGCGCAGGTCGGCTGTCCGGGCAGCGCCTCCGCCAGCCCCGGCCGGCTCCGGAGGCCCCGCGGGACCGAGGAGCCGCCTTCGCCGGACCCAGGCGGTCTCTCCCCTCCCGCGGGGCCTCAACTCCCCCGGGCGCCCAGAGCGGGTCCCCAGGCAGGACACCTGTCGCCTCCGCCGGCCTTGGGGGTCGCGAGCGCGCCGCGGGTCCGCCCGGGCTCCTCGGCGTTAAGCTCCCGTCGAGGGGACTGGCTCCCGGGGCCGGGCAGGGCAGGGCCGGGCGCAGCCCGGAGGCCCCCGGGGCGGCCTCGAGCCGGGCCCAGACACGCCGGGCGCGGAGGGGCCGCGCACACCTGTGGATGATGTGCTGGCCGCGCAGGTAGTCCAGGGCCAGCGCCAGCTCGCAGATGTACAGCCGCACCGTGTCCTCGGAGAACTGCACGTTCTGCTGCAGGTGGTAGCGCAGGTCCCCGCCCAGCAGCAGGTCGACCACCATGAACATGTCCTCCTCGTCCTGGAAGGAGTACCTGTGGGCGCGGGCCCGGCGCGCTGGGACTCCTGGACGCCCGCCCAGGAGCCGCCCGCGCCCCCCCACGGGGGCGCCCCGGGGTGCTGCCCAGGCCCACTCCCACGCAGGGTCCCCGTGTTGGGCGGACCTGGGCGGCCCCGTGTCGGGAGGACGCGGCGCGCGCTGTGCTGGGGCTGTTCGGGAGGACCCGTTATGGGGAGCCCCCGTCTTGGGGAGACCCCTGGGTCTTACTCCGCAGAGAAGCCGGCGTCCAGCGGGGAGACCCACCTGAACCCAGTGCGGCGCGGGGAGCGCCCGGGCGGTGCTGGGAGGGTCGCGGGGCGGGGCGGGGCGGGGCCGGGTCGAGGGGGCGGGGTGGGACATGGGGGCGGGGCCATGGTCTGGGGGCGGGGCCGGGTCGAGGGCGGGGCGGGGCCGGGTGGGGGCGTGGTCTGGGGGCGGGGCCGGGGCGGGGCGGGGCGGGGCGGGGCGGGGCGGGGCCGGCGAGGGCGGCGTTGCTCACCAGAGGTTCACGAGGAAGACGTGCTCGATCTCCTGCAGGATCTCCAGCTCCCGGAACACGTTGCGCACCTCGTCGCGCTCGATGCACTGCTGCTTGCTCATGTACTTCATGGCGAACATCTTCTCCGTGTCCCGCTTCTGCACGATGCACACCTGCGGGGGGCGAGGGCTCGGCGGCGCTCGGGGTCCGGCGGAGCCGCCACCCCAGACCCTCTGGAGGGGCGGGCATGGCGGAGAGGCCCCGGGAGCCCGCCTGGAGGTGCTATTCGCGGGCCCGGGCCTTCGCACCCCCCCCGCAGCCCCCGCAGCCCCCCGCAGCCCCCGCAGCCCCCCGCAGCCCCCCACCTGCACCGCCGACCGCCCGGCCCCCGGCCGAGGAGGGAGAGGCGCAGACTAGGAGGCCTGTGGCCAAGGAAACTCACTCAGAGTCCAGGGGCCCAGTGCCCAGAGGGAGACCCGGCCAGTGACCGTAGCGGGGCCTCAGGTCAGGCCTCCCCACCGAGTCCTGCGGCCGCCCCGGCTGGGAGGGGCTTCCTGAGGGTCCCAAGCCTCCCTCTCCGGTAACAGAAGAGGGGTGGGGGCGGGAGGGGTGGAGGGTCTGGAACCCGAGGGGGCAGGAGGCCCCCAAGTGCCTCGCCGAGAGGCAGGTGGCCTGGAAGGAACCTCCGGGCATCCTAGCGGACACCAGCCCGGGCCGCACCCCCAGCACCTCCCGGCGCGCCGCCTCTCCCGGAGCGCAGCCCCCAACACGCGTCACTTACGGCAAGACCTTCCACAGCTTTTCCCCAAACCTGCGGGCAGGCAGGGAGCCGGGAGCAGCAGCCCCAGGAAGGGTGTTAGACAGGCATCTGGCGACCTCCCTCCCAGCGCCCATCTGTCCACACGGCCCCGAGCCCAGCCTGGGCACAGGACCCCACCTAGGAGGTGCCGGCTGCCTCACAGCGCGTCTGCGGTGAACAAGCTACCCCCCAGCAGGCCCCAGCCCTGACAGCTCCTGGGCTGAACTGGACAGCTACCCGTCCGCTGGACAGATGCACGGGCAGAGGCCACTGTCCAGTCAGTCTCACCAAGCAAGGCCCCTGTGCTAATGTGACCCTCAGAGGGCGCAGCCTCTGCGGTTGTGGTCGCCCGGTCCTGGTGTTGCCAGGCTGCCAGCCACTCCAGCAGGGGAGAGGAGAGCACGCCAGCAGGGACAGGGCCCCGAACGCCACGTCCGACCTGCCACGAGTGTCCTGGGGGGTCCAGCCACAGGTGCAGCCAGCCTCCCGCCAGCATGGCTCTGGACAGTGCCGGCCACACCCAGAGCAGCTTCCAGAACGCTCGCATCAGGCCCCAGCCAGCGGCTCCGACTAGGGGGCAGCTCTGCAAACCAGCCTCAGGACCCCATGGGCGGGCTCGGGCCTGGCACTGTGCCTTCTGGGCCCTCAGCTCCCTGCCGAGCTACTGGACCCGAGCTGGGCTGGACGACACGGCCCCTCAGGCCCACTCTCAGCCGCCGGCCAGTCCAGCCTCTCCAGCGCCTGTGGACAGCCGCTCCGCCTACCTTGCCAAAGCTGCCCTTCCCAATGGCCCGCAGGATCTGGAAGTGGTCAAAGTTCACTGCAAAAAAGCAGAGGGCGGTGGGTGAGGTGGAGGAAAGCTGGGCCCGCCAGGCACCCCCTCAGGCTGCCCCGACACCTCGCCACCTCCAGAGCCCCTCCCGGGAGGAGGGTGAGCAGAGGCCTCGCACCCTCTCCCTTCCTGCTGCGGGGGAGGAAAGGCCGCTGGTCCCGAGGGTTGGGGTGAGGAGGGGCCCACAGCGCCCGGGGGCTGCTGAGCTGGCTAGGATCCCATGAACACCCTAAATCAGCAGCCGGGGGGCTTGGGGGCACACAGAGGCTGGGGCTGAAGGGTCACGTCCCCTCGAGGGCAGCAGCCTCAGGCTCCCCGCTGTGGCCAGCACGCCTCTGGGCCCGGGTCAGCAGGGGCGCGGCCAAAACGACCACCGGTTTTAAAGACGCGCGCAAATGCTGGACTCCGGCTGCAGGGGAGGGGCGGGGGCGCAGCGCGCGGCAGGCACGGGGGGCGCGGGGGAAGCCGGGACCAGGCCCCTCCTGGCAGGACGGGGCAGTGCCGGGCGGCCTCCCAGCACCACCTTCCGTTCTGCCCCCGGGGACGGGAGGCCGGCGTGGCCACGGGGCCCGGGAACGCAGGGCAGGCGCGGGCTGGGGCAGACACTGGAGCAAGGCCCCGTCAGGGGGAGGCGGCCCAGGCAGGCCCCGTGAGGACCCCACTCAGGGGCAGCCGCCCAGACCCAGCCGCCGAGCCCAAGCCCCTTCCCGCCAAACTGAGACCCCGTCCGCTAGGCCTGGGGGTTCTCGGGGCCGAGGACCCCACTCCTGCCTGAAGTCCAGGCCCCCCACCGCAGGGCCCGGGTCCTGAACCCTCTGCCGGAGCCGGAGCCCACAGTGCCCCTCGCGCCCCCTGTGGGGGACAGACTGGGCAGCGGGAAGGCCCTGCACTGTCGCAGGGGCACAGGCCCTGACGCCCCGCACTCAGCCCCATGCAGGGCCTGCTCCCCGGAGCCCCGGCGTCCGCCTGCTGGAAGGGTGGCTGCGGGGGGCCTTCAGCACAGACCCGAGGGAGCCCAGGCTGGGTCCCAGAGGCGGGGGTGTGCCTGGGGCCGACGCTGCCCCCGCAAACAAGCCTGCCGGGGAGACAAGGGGCAGGGCCTGCTACTTCGACGAGGTCACAGACGCCCTTGGAGCTGACATTTGGGAGACAGTGGGGCCGGGCCCCCCTCCCGTCTGTGTAACGGAGCACCTGGCGTCCCTGCGGTCCTGAAGCTGAGCCTCCTGCGGCGCCGGGGTGCCAGGTGCTAGGGGTGCCTGGATGCTGGGGGTGCTGAATGCTGGGTGTTGCTGGGTGCTGGGGAACTGGGGTGCTGCACTCCTCCAGGGGGCTCTCACTAGGCCGCGCTGTGGTGGGTGCCCAGCGAGCAGTGGGAGTGGGTCTTAGGGAGCCCAGGGCCAAGGTGAGGGGTGCGTCCTGACCTCCTCGGCCACACCTCATGAGCCCGGCACCCTCACACCCTGCCCCAGCAGCCAGACAGCCGCGGCCCCCCCTCAGCTCCTCCAGTCTCCCCTCCCTGGCGCCAAGCTGCAGAGAGAGGCAGGGGCTGTCCGGAGGCACCCGGTGGCCTGTGGGCCTGGCCCGGTGCGAGAGACAGACGCTGCTGGGGTGGAGGGCCTGGGCACGCCCAGCCGGACATGGGCAGCCTCGCCCGCCAGGCCCTTGGGGAAGGCCGGGGCCACGGGCGCCGGGACAAAGGCGGGCTCCGCAAGGACCACCAGAGCTCGCGCCGGCTGGAGGTGGGGGCCAGGCTCCGCCCGCTGCAGCCACGACGCCCAGGGTCAGGCACGGCTGGGCTCAGCAGGGCCAGCGCCCGCCCTCTGGGTGTGGGTGGACCTCCGTGCCACAGAGGGCAGGTGGCCCTGGCGCCCACCCCCGCCGAGTCTCGTGGTCCCCCCGGGAAGCGAGCCAAGATGGGCCACGGGAGCGAAAATAGACCCGTGGCACCTGAGCCACACTCCGCGGAGATGGAGCCCTCGCCCTGCAGCTTCCCACGCTGACCGGGGTGTCTCCCGGCACCCGGCCGGCGCCTCCGGCTCGGAGAAGACACACAGCTGAGCGCCCAGCCCCGGCCTGCCAGCCCTGCTCCCGCGGGACCCCTGAAGCAGGGACTGTCCAGCAAGGTCTGTCCTGGACCAGGCGCCAGTGCTGACGCGGCCGTGGGCTCACGGGATGAGCCTCGGGCCACAGGCCACTCCCGGGCCCCGCCAGCTGCGTGCAGACACCATGGCAGGGCTGGCCACTGGACGTGACCTCAGATGCCACGAAGCCACCCGGTCCTCACCACTCTCAGGCCTCAGAGTGGCTGGTGAGGGCTGGACGTGGCTGTGTAGGGGAGGGTGCTGGGCCGGAGGGGGCGACCAACTGTCCTGCGGACCATGGGCGGGGGCAGCGCCGGGGCTGGCCTCCCAACAGCCAGGCCTTGCAGGCCCGAGTCACACTTCCCTCCCTGCATGTCCTTGACGCCAGGCAGGAGGTGAACGGGGTGGGGGGTACCCGCTCTGGCCTCTGCCTGACTCCTCCACCCGGCGGGGCCTGGAGCTGGTATGGCCACGCCTGGGCACCTGGATGCCGGCGGAGTGTGCCTGCAAGTCTGGAGGACCCAGTAGGCGCCCCACCTGTCCCCTGGTCCCCACCCCGTCGTGGCAGTGGCAGATGGGGGCCAGGCCCCTGTGGCCCCTGCAGAGGCCTGCCCCTGTGCCCTGTTCCCAGCCAGCCAGAGGGCAACAAGCTGCACCCTGGCCCAGACCCAGTGGGCACGGCCCCGGCCCAGACACAGCTGAGGCCTCGTGCTGGGCTTCCAGAGCAATCCTGGCTCAGGTGCCTGGAGTCCAGGGCCCGTGGGGAGGGGAGCGGAGGCTGCAGGGGCTGGCGCCGAGCCTGGCCTGTGCGTCCGGGTCAGCTGAGACATGTCTGCTCTGAGCTGACGCCTCAGAAAGTGCCTGAGCCGCCCAAATTAGTGGCAACTGCCAGATCGATGGCGCGTCTCCGGGCTGGGCCCACGGGGCCTCCAGACACGGGGTCTAGGCCCGGCAGCTGTCTCCCCCGCCCCAGAGATCCATGGGGCCTCGGCCCCACCGGCACCTATAGTGGGGCCGCCTCCAGGACCCCAGGGCTCCCGCCAGGCCCCGGCCCGCCTGGCACTCACAGACACAGCTGAGCACAGCCCGGCTCGGGGCGCAGAGCGCTGAGCCCCAAATGCTCTCTGCCACCGGGCGGGAGGCGCAGCGGACAGCCCCTGGACCCCCGCCGGGACACCTGCTCAGCCCGCGGGGGTGGTGGCAGCTGAGGCTTCATCTTGGGGCCCAGGCGGGGCACCAGCTCCAGACAGCAGCGAATCAGGGACGCGGCCCAGCTCCGGGGAGGACGCCCCGCCTAGGCCACGCCCCAGACACCAGATGCCCCACAGCGCAGTGCACCCCCCCAGCTCAGGCACCTCAATATGTGTGTGCCTGCACGTGTTTGTGGCGTGTGGTGTCTATGATGTGTGTGTGTGTGGCGTGTGTGTGGTGTGTGTGGTATGTGTGGTAAGTGTGTGTATGAGGTATGTGTTGTGTGTGTGAGGTGTGTGGTGTGGGATGTGGTGTATGTGGGGTGTGCGAGATGTGTATGTGTGGTGTGTGAGGTATGTGGTGTGTGTGAGGTGTGTGTGGGGTGTGTGGGTGGTGTGTGGCGTGTGAGGTGTGTGTGGTGTATGTGTATGGTATGTGTGAGGTATGTGTGTGAGGTGTGTGTTGTGTGTGTGAGGTGTGTGGGGTGTGGTGTATGTGGGGTGTGCGAGGTGTGTGTGTGTGGTGTGTGGTATGTGTGTTGTATGAGGTATGTGGTGTGTGTGGGGTGTGGTGTGTGTGAGGTATGTGGTGTGTGTGGGGTGTGGTGTGTGAGGTATGTGTGTGGTGTGTGTGTGTGTGGTATGTGTGAGGTGTGTGTGTGGAGAGTGTGTGTGTTCTGTGTGTGGAGAGTGTGTGTGTGGTGTGTGTGAGGGGTGAGGTGTGTGTGAGGGGTGTGGTGTGTGTGAGGGGTGTGGTGTGTGTGGGGTGTGTGGGGTGTGCAGGGTGTGTGAGGTGTGTGGGGTGTGGTGTGTGAGGTATGTGGTGTGTGTGAGGTATGTGGTGTGTGTGGGGTGTGGTGTGTGTGGTATATGTGAGGTGTGTGGTGTGTGTTGGGTGTGGTGTGTGTGGGGTGTGCGGGGTGTGTGAGGTGTGTGTGGGGTGTGGTATGTGAGGTATGTGGTGTGTGTGGTGTGTGTGGGGTGTGGTGTGTGAGGTGTGTGTGGGGTATGTCGGGGGTGTGTGGTGTGTGAGGTGTATGTGGTGTGTGTGTGTGTGGTATGTGTGAGGTGTGTGTGGGGTGTGTGTGTGTGTGTGTGTGCACGTCCAGAGCCGGGGCGTCTCTGGGATGGGCAGCATCTGGGCTGTGGAGGGGGCGCCCGGGAGTCTGACTGGCCAGGCCTCCTGGCGGCGGGAGAGGCGCCGGGCTGTGCAGGGCGGGGCTGGTCCTGGGAAGAGCGTCCAGGAGAGCCTGGGCCTCGTGGCCATTTAGTATCCCCGGGCACTGCCGGGCGGCCCCCAGCAGCGGGTAGACAGTGTCCCTGCCCCTTGCCTGCTCACAGGTGGGCGCTGCCAGCCCGGCAGCCACCTCCCCATCCACCTGGAGGCAGGGCAAACTGTCCTGGAGGCCAGAGTGGCCCCGGGCCCCCTCCGTCCATGCGGTCCACAACCCCTACCCACTGGCAACTACACGAGGCCCCAAGAGCAAGGTCCCTGCTGCCGCCAGCCCGCACGAGGACAGCAGAGGGGGGCATCTGGGGTCCCTAACGGCATCGCCCAGCAGCTCCGAGGCCCTGGCTCCGAGGCCGGGCAGACCCGTGGTGACTGTCGCTGTCTGGGGGCGCCCGGCGGAGGCTCGCCGCAGGGACGGAGGAGGGAGGATGGAGCAGGTGCAGAGACCGGGGCAGGCCCATCCTGTGCGCCCATGTCCGCTGGACG